ATTATCAAGGAATACTGCCCTGATATTCTAGAACTAGAGGGTAAAATAGAAATTAAAGGAATCCATTAATCACTTCCTGAAAGAGATTCTCAAATAAAAACTCCCAGGAATATTATAGCCAAATTCCAGAGCTCCCAGGTCAAGAAGAAGATATTACAAACAGCCAGAAAGAAACAATTCAAATATCATGGAGCCACAGTCAGAATAACACAAGATTTCACAGCTTCTATATTAAAGGTTTGGAGGGCTTATGATATGATGTACCAAAGGGCAAAGGAGCTAGGATTACATCCAAAAATCACCTACCCAGAAAAACTAAGTATAATCCTTCAGGGGGAAAAAATGAAAATTCAATGAAATAGAGGATTTTCAAGCATTCCTGTTGAAAAGAACAGAGCTGAATAGAAAATCTGACTTTCAAATACAAGGCTCAAGAGAAGCAAAAAAAGGTCAACAGGAAAAAGAAGTCATAAGAGATTCAGTAAGTTTAAACTGTTTATATTCCTACATGGGAAGATGACACTCATACTCCTAAGAACTTCTTCATTATTAAGGCAGTAGAAGTATACATAGACAGAGGGCACAGGTATGAGTTGAATACGATGGGATGATTATCTTAAAAAATAAAACTAAAGGGTGAGAGAGAAGACTGCACTGGGAGAAGGAATAAGGGAGACAAAGAAATGGGTAAATTATCTCACATAAAAGAGGCGCAAAAGAGCTTTTACAGTAGAGGGGAAGACAGGGGAGGTAGTAAGGAATGAATGAATGTTACTCTCATTGGAACTGGTTCAAAGAGGGAATAATTTACATACTAAGTCAGGTATAGAAATCTATCTTACTCTACAGAAATGTAGGATGGGAAAGGGATAAAAGAAAGGAGGAGTGGAGGAGGTGGTAGTGAGAAGCAAAACACTTTGGAAGATTCACAGGATAAAAGGAGAGTAGGATAAACAGAAGAAAAAATAAGATAGAGGGAAATAGTGATCATAATTTACAAGTTCCTCTAATAAAAGGCCTCATTTCTCAAATTGAGAGAACTAGTCAGTTTTATAAAAAGAAGAGCCATTCCCCAATTGATAAATGATCAAAGGATATGAGCAGACAGTTTTCAGACAAAGTAATCAAAGCTACCTATAGTAATAGTAAAAAATGCTCTAAATCATCATCGATTAGAGAAATGCAAATTAAAACAACTCTGAGTTACCACCCCACACCTATCAGATCGGCTAATATGACAGAAAAGGAAAATGACAAATGTCAGAGAGGATGTGGGAAAATTGAGACACGAATGCACTGTTGGTGAAATTGTGAAGTGATTCAACCATTCTGGAGAGCAATTTGAAACTATGTCCAAAGGGCTATAAAACCCTTTGCCCCAGCAATACCACTACTAAGTCTGTATACCAAAGAGATAAAAAAAGCAAAATGGCAAAGGACTTATACGTACAAAAAATATTTACAGCAATTCTTTTTGTGCAGCAAAGAATTGGAAACTGAGGGGGATGCCCATTAAGTGGGGAATGGCTGAACAACTTGTGGTAAATTATTGTGATGGAATTTTATTTTGTTATAAGAAATTATGCTGTCAGAAAAACCTGGAAAGATTTACATGAACTGATGCAAAGTGAAATGAGCAGGACCAAGAGGACACTGTATACAGTAACAGCAATACTGCATGATGATCAATTGTGAATGACAGCTATTTTCAGCAACACAATGATCCAAGACAATTCCAAATGACTTATGATGAAAAATGCTATCCATCTCCAGAGAAAGAAATGATGGAGTCTGAATGCAGATTGAAGCATACTTTTTTATTTTCTTTATTTTTATTGGTCTGTGTTTTCTTTTACAACATGACTAATGTGAAAATGTTTTGCATGACCACACATGTAAAATCTATATCAAATTACCTGCCTTCTCAATGTGGGGAAAGGAAGAGGGGGGGATGGAAGGATGGAGGAAGAGAATTTGGAACTCAATTTTTTGAAATGAATTTAAACATTGTTTTTACATGTAACTGGAAGAAAATAAAATATTAAATTTTTAAAAATAAAATGTGTATAAATTATACTCATAAAATTTTGTATAGACGGAAAAATAAGTATGTGGCTAAGTAGCTATTGATGTTTGTTCAGTCCCCTTTTTTTTGTAGTATTAAAGGATGAGGGGTTTTTTTTGCATACTTTAGTTTCTTTCTTTCTTTCTTTCTTTCTTTCCTTCCTTCCTTCTTATACCTGGACAATCTATCTCTTAATTCCCTCAAAGTTGTGTTTCCTCCAATATGGACCTACTCCTAAAATTAACTTCCTTATCATCTATCTCCTACCTTTCAGAATATTTATCATCCTTCAAGGTTCAGAAGAGGTACCACCTCTTGTGTGAAACCTTCCCTGGTTCCACCCAGTTGTTAGTGGTCTCTGTCCCTTCAATTTTTCTTGTATTAGTCTTGTTTACACTGTTCTATCTGCCAACAGAATATAAGCTAAAAGGCAGAAAGAGCTTTGTTTATACCCCAGAGCCTAACATAAAGCCTTGCATTTAGCAGATACATAATTAATGTTTGTTGATTTGAATGTTGCACTGAATACTACTAGACTCAGCTTCCACATAACACATTATGGCTAAAACTCCTTTATTACCTTATTCCCCCATTCATCCTAGGATACCCCTTTATGACCTGTGGATTCTCCCTACCTCAGAATGCTCAATACAGACCTTTCTCTTTTAAAAATTTTACTGATGTATTTTTTTTTCCAGGACAATCATGTTCCAACCTATCTCCTTCCCACAGTGTCAGGCACATAGTAGGCACTTAATAAATGTTTATTTCCTGACTGATAGACCACTGAACCAAAAAAAAATTTACACAAATTAAATATGACACATAATTGCTTATACCACATTCTACTCTTATAGTTCCTTACCTCTTTCCCAAACTTCTTTACAGATGTCTCTACCCTATAAGATACAATATTTTAAAATTTTGTTTTCTAGGACCAAGATTGGTCATGGCTCATGCCTTACTATTGCTTACTCCCAGAAATCTTGGCCCCCTATCTCCCTTCTTAATCATTCAATGAATTTTAATGGTTTCACATATTTAATGTTTTAAAAGAAGTAAACTGGATTAAAAAGTTTTCAAAGCTTCTTAGTCTACTTCTTACTATCTAAAGCACTCAGAGCTCCATGATGTGCCCCCCCTTCCCAGCTACACTTAGGTCCAAAGTACTGTTGGCCTAATTAACTAAATAAATCCAAATAACTAAATAAATCCAAAACTAAAAAGCTGCTACTACCAATGCTTCCTTTACCAAATCAAAGTAGATGAAAACAAATTCAAAGCAAATTAATAAAATAAGAAAAGTCACATACTAGGCATTATTGTATCCATTCCCAAATGACTGCTATCACTTCATGTGTCTCCCAAGGAACAATCATTTAAGCTGCCAATTAATCACAGCCTCCCCAATACAACAGAAAAGGTATCTATCAATTATTCATGAACAGTAGCTAGGGAAACTTGCCACAACTATATGGAATTCTGGATATCTCTTCATAGTATGATCAGGAAATTTCTGGCTTAGGTTTCTCACCAACACTTACTTATAAATAAGAATGTCCCCAAGAGCTGGAGTATGCAAAATCAGCTTAAGGCACTACAGGTCTGGAGTTAACTGGCTAGTTTCTAGTTTTACCTTATAAAGATCTTCCCCTTCTGTCATCTGTTCTTTGATCTATAAATCATTATCTTCCTTAATTTGCTCCTTGAAATTCCACTGAACCCATACTGTTTATGTAAAGGAAACCAATATAATGTAGCTTAAAACCGATGACAAAGAATTCAGAGTTTTTTTCAGTGATGCCTGTACTCTGAGCATAATAAACTGAGGGTTTTCCCCTATCTCTGAGTTGTTGATTGTATGACTGACAGCAGTAAATAATCAATGGATTCTCAGTTTCTGTCAAAATGTAATTGGCAGTAGCTAAAACCAGAGGCAGGTCTTGAAGTGCCACACCTTTACACAAGGACAGAATGAGAACACAGCTACTATTTCTTTTCCATCTCTCTCATCTGGGCTTATCCAACCCATGTCACAGCATCTGAAAGACTCCTTGGCTGGCCCCTTTCATGTCAATTTACATATACTTATATACCTAATGACCTTAATAGGTAGCTTCTGGGGACATCCAATAACACATGGGTGCCTTCAAACAAGCAAAGCCAAGTTTATAGTACACTCTACAACTGCATCCACTCAAAACCACAGCTCATGAGCTCCAATTATGTAGCATCTGAGGTACCCCCTTCTTGTATATGAAGTCCTCAGAAAAGGTACCCTAGGCACAAGGTACCTTATGGGTCTGCATTCACTAAAAAAACTTTATTTCATGAGACCATACCACTGTTATAACTTTTATTAGTTAACCAGAGACCATAATTCAAAAGAAAGACATACCTTGCAGTATGAAAACTTTTACATAAATTATAACTAATAAGTCTAGTAGAAAGAGGCAGGATTAAGAGTCTGAAAACCAGGATTCTAGTTCCAGTTCTGCCATTAACTAGCTATGGAACCTTGGGGAGGTCACTTAACCACTCTGCGTTCCAGTACCAATTGAATTAGAACGTTTCTGAGATCTCTCCCAATGCTGAGATTCTAAAAATGTAGAGGCTAAGACAGATGATCCTAAGGTCCCTTCCAACACTAACGTTCTATGATCTTATAAATTCCTGGAACAATGCCATATGACTAGGGATGCCTGTGAACAAATACAATTTTAAAACATTCCTTTTTTAAATTAAAGAATATTTTTCAGGGCAGCTAGGTGGCGCAGTGGAAAGAGTACCGGCCCTGGATTCAGGAGGACCTGAGTTCAAATCCTGATTCAGACACATAACACTTACTAGCTTGTGTGACCCTGGGCAAGTCACTTAACCCCATTGCCTAGCAAAAACAAAACAAAACCAAAAAAAAAAGGAATATTTTTCTTACCTCATGCCACTATCCAATTGACTAGTCTTATTTGTATTGCCATCCCACAAATAGATGCAGGTAGATTTTTCAGCAATTATTGCTAATGTATCTCCATCTACATCCCAATCCATAGCAACACAGGGGCTTTAAAAATTAAAGATGTGAACATAATTAGAATTTTTTAAAACTCGCAAAAACTGTACAAATGAAATGCCATTGTTGTTTCTGTTATAATTTATCTATACATTCCAGTGTGCTAGGGACTAAGAGTTCATAGAAAGTCAATCTTTAACCTGCTCTGATCTACATTACCTTTTTCTTTTCTCTCACTCCCTTCTACTTTTAGCCTGTTACTTTAGTTCAAGTTAAGCCAAGTTTCCTGTATCCCAAAACGTTCAAGGATTTGTTTAAAATTGGCTTCAATTTTACAACTTGGACAATGACAATTTGTGACCACTGTTCTGTTTTATTCAGTAGTAACTAATGGAAAATTTCAATCAATTAAGAGATCATGTCATAATTAGAAGCCTCAATCACCATTAGAATATTCTCATATTTTCACTGACAAAAAATAAAAGCAGAGGTCGTTTTCACTGGAAAAATATACATCTCATTTTTGTGAATTGTAACCTGGAATGTATTTTCTCATACTGATAACAGCTGACATTTACATAGTACTTCAAGAGAATGAGGATGTTAGAGGACCCTATATGCTAGAGAAGACAGGAAGGGATGGGACCAAGTATACATGTAGAAAGACTAGTCTTGACAAGAAGGACCACCTCTTTCAGAGACTGGGGGAAAGAAGGAGAGCATGGGAGATGATGTCAAGATCTTGAGATTAAGAAAATGGAAGAGAGAATTTACATCAAATGGCTTCAATTTTCTCAGTCACAAAGTTAAGGTTCACAGCTGGGGAGGGTAGAAGGGTTCAGGGAAGGGAAAGATAGAAGCTTAAAGAGGGAAAGGAAGGTTTGAAAGAGCATCTATGGAGACTGATACAGGCAATCAATTACAGAAAAATAAAAGAATGACCTTGTTACATCAAATAGTCTCTCAAAATGAAGCCCAGGGAGATAAAGTAACAACCATGGGTCACAAAATTAGTGAATATCAGAGCTATGATTTGCAAATCCAGAATTCTTCCTGCTAAACCAAATCATAATGTACCTTTTTTTATGTATTCCACATTTATACATTTTATAAAAATTCTGATTCTATCTTTATGCTTACCCTTGAAGACTAATTTCATTTTTCTTTAGACCATGGCGATCAAAGATTTTTACTGCATGATCAGCTCTAAAAATGCAATATTAGATTCTTAAAACACAAAATGGTATATGACAAATTTTTTTGTTAGTAACATGCTGACTGAACTAATAAAGGCAAGTCAAACTAGTCAACCTATGGTTCAGTTATTGCTAAAGTGAAATATCCTTTGAACTACTTTTACATTCATTACTTAATATCATATACATAAATGTCAAATAAAACAGATGACACGGACTGTAATCTTTAATATGCTGGCTACCTTACCCTGTAACTGCAATGTAATTTCCTTGTGCTTTCTGCCATTTGAACTGTATAGGAGCACCAAGCAAAGATTTTTCTAATAGAATAAACACTTGCTAGAGGAGAAAAAACAGAATTCCAAATTATCTCTTAATAGTATAAAACTCAGTGATATTAAAAGGTCAGAAAGGCACCAGACCAGATGCAGGCCATGTTGCAGGCACTACATGCCTTCCAACTAGGAGATTGCTTTCCCAACACCTTTTTTGTCAGATTTTTCATTGGTTGTAAATGATACTGTACATACCTGCCTAGAATGAATATTGATAGTAAAAAGGAATTCAGAATACAGATGAAATAAAGCTAATATTTTTTATCAAATGATCCAATTATTTTCCTTGGCCTTCCATTCTCTAGAAAATTTAAAACCAAAATTATGAATGACTAAATTTACACTGGCATTTCTACAACAGCCTTACAAGATAAACAGGATAGGTATTATTATGCATATTTATACAATCTTACAAGGTAAACAGGATAGGTATTATTTTACATGTTTTATAGGTGAGGAAACTGATACTTTAAAGAAGGTCAAAGGGCTTGTCAAAGCCAGACAGCTAGTTAAATGGCAGAATTGACTCTTACACATGCCTCAAACTGCTAAAGAAGTATGGAATTGAATTGTACTAAAAACCTGTACTACAATATTAAATATCTAAAACCTTTGAATGTGCCAGAAAATAATTTCAATGAAACAATTTATCTTTAAAAATTAATTTAATTCTCCATTTCCCCCTTTCATGTCTCCTTTTTTATGTTCTTTATGATAAACTCTTAGTTGATAAGTAGAAACAAAATATCAATATCAATAAGAACAAAATATCATTCAGCATATATTTAATGGATGGCAATTATGTATTAGATACTCTGTAAGATAGGATATTACATGCTTAGTCAATATTCACTGTTTTAGTCTCTTTCATCTGTGGGTTATGAAATCGCCCTCACACCTTTCTGGTCAATTCATAATTCTGAAAGCAATACCTTGTCAAAAAAAATGACATCTTATTGAATATTCTTCACTAGTTCAATTATAATTCTAATCATTTCAGAATCCTTCATATTCTCCTACCCATACTATCCATTCTAGTTAAGCTAACTTACAAGCTCTTTTTTTCCCTGGAAATTTATTTTGTTCTTCCAAGCTATACCATATGCCTAAAACAACTACTTATCTCCCAAAGGCTAATAACTTTCTCTTTTTATGCAAAATCCTCCTTTTGCAAATTATCTCAAAGTAAATTAATTAAAATACTCAGTTTCCTCAAATGTTTGTTTAATCACTTTCCATATGTCTACTAAAAAAAAGGAAAAGAAAAATAGGACAAAAAAGTTTAAAAGCCATAAAAATGTTAAAAAGATGCTGGTGTGGCATTTTATACATAATGAATAGATTGTGACATGACATGTCATAATAACTTCAATTTCAAGTGTTCTGTATATATATTGTGCATAGTGTAAAACATGTTGTGGGTATTAATACCAACTATGATAATGATCTACTTAATAATAGGGCAAAAGGAAAGATATGGATCCTACACAATGCCAACAACACTATAAATATGAGTTGCCAAATTTCATAAACTGTATTATGCTCACACTGAAAAAAAAATCTAGCCACACATTTATATACAGCAGCATTGCTATTGCTAATGGTTCATGCATGAAAAGTAGGATTTGATGAGTTTGTGATAACATCTCAAAATGCTGACTGGTCAAAGTCAAAATGCAGGAAATCTCCTAAGTATACAAAAATGTCTCTGTTCTTTCTACTTTAAAAATAAATCTGAGGGATCTCTCAGGGAAAATACAGGAGATAAATTATGCCAATCCAGAAAAGATAAATACTATAATTAGATATTACACTGAAATTATTTTCTATCTATGATCTGACAAATTATTTAAGACTATACTATTACTTTAGCACAGAAAGACAATACCTGTTTGGTAGCATTAACACCAATAAAACTAATGATAATTATAATTACACATATTACAGAATCTGAGCATAGGAAAGGGCTTCAGAGGCCATCTATCTTAGCCAAATACACAAGCTAAAAATGGTCATCTAAATTTCAAAGATTTTTTATGAAGGAAGCCATGACCTCCAAGACAGCCTTCTTAGCTAGCTAGAGAGTCACGTACCCCTTTCACAATTCAGTTAAGTCAAATAAGTGTATATAGACAGGAAGGCAGGTACAATAACTACAATAATTTCTAAGTAGTGATAAACATAAATATTTTGAAATATCTCTAATAACTATAATGTAATATGAAAATATAATTGTGATGAAGAATTATTGTGCTATAAGAAATGATGAAAGGAATGGTTTTAGAAAAACATGGGAAGATCCATATGAACTGATGCAAAGTGAAGTTAGTAGAACCAGATCATTGTATACAGTAACAGCAACATTGTAATGATGATCAACTGTGAAAGACTTAGGTACTCTGATCAATACAGTGAACCAAGAAAATTCCAAAAGACTTATGATAAAAAATGCTATTTACCTCCAGAGAAAGAACTGATGAACTTTGAGTACGAATTCAAATATAGTTTTCTCACTTTATTTTTCTTACATTTTTGCTATATGGCTAACATGGAAATGTTTTACATGATTTCATATGTACAATTGATATTATATTGCTTGCCTTCTTAGTGGGTGGGGGAGGGTGAAAGGTAGAGACTTTAGAATTCAATTTTTTTTTTAAAGAATGCCAGGGGGTACCTAGGTGGCTCAGTGAATAGAGTATCAGACCTGGATTCAGGAGGACCTGAGTTCATATCTGACCTCAGACACATAACAATCACTAGCTGTGTGACTCTAGGCAAGTCACTCAACCTCAATTGCCTCATCAAAAAAAAAAAGAGAGAAAAAAAAAGAATGCTGAAAGTAATATTTTAAAAAAGAAAATATCTGTAATTTCTACTGGTGACAAAATCACAGGTACTGCCAAAACTACTGTGGTTTGTTGCCTACATTTATAATTGAAGGAAATGCTAAATTTGAGTTAGAAGTTAGTGAAAATACATATATATATATATATATATATATATATATATATATATATATATATATATATATATATATATATATATATATATATATATATATATATATGCGCAATGTTTTTTCCAGTACAAGTTCATGGATCCCCTGAAATCTGTCAGTGGACTCCTTTGGGGTTTATGTACCCCAGATTTAGAATGGTAGCCCTAAAGGAAGCTAGATTTCTTTAAAAAATGTCTACCTGCTGCTCCTATTCTGTCCTCTGGTGCCAAGTAGAACCAATCTAAACTGTCTTCAATGTGATAGCCTTTCAAATATTTGATATTTACCAAAAAGGTCTTGAGAAAATTTTATTAATTCATAATTTTGTAGATAATCTATTTTCAGCAACGGAAATTCAAGTACTGAAGCAATGTTGGAAATTCACAACTGAAAGCCTTTAATTATGCTAAGTTTTTTTTTTCCATTTCCAGATCATGCCTTGATTACGCCACTATATCTCTAAATTAGGACACAGGACCTGCCAAGTAGCTCAGAAATGTAAAACAGGATTATTTCTTACAAGTTAAAAAAAAATAATTAGCCATACTATGTACAAAAGATTTTGCAACAGTTTTATACAATAAAATCCACTATACATATATATAAAACATATAGATACCTATGTTTTATATTACAATTTCATTCCCCTTGTATCTGTTTTTTACTGAGAAATGGTAATAAGAATGTAAGTTCATGTTAGTTTATCCTATTCTTCCTAAGGAAAAAAAATCAGTATATATTGCTATAGTGATTTTATTATTAATTTTTATTATAAGTCTCCAAATTGTTTCTTACAAATATGCTTAAAACACTAATTGAAAGCTCAAGTTTATACTATAATAATTTTGGCAGTTTAATGTTCAGAAGACTTCTAAAATCTAGCTACTTTATAATTTGATAATTCAAGCTTCAAGTTCAAATTCTAACATACTAAAGCTTCCTTAGTTTAAAATATACTGGTAGGTGTACTGCATTTTCCTTTACTGAAGGGAAAATACATATATGCTCTATATACTCTCTCTCTCTCTCTCTCTCTCTATCTCTCTCTCTCTCTCTCTCTCTCTCACACACACACACACACACACAACACACACACACACACACACACACACACACACAATACACACTGTAATGTTTATCAGTTGTTTTGTGCCATATTTTGTTTTGAAAATGGCTTGTGGTTAAAAAAAGATAAAAAGAAAATATAAATGCTCCAAATGTCTTAGAGAAGCACAGCAATAAGATACAGAATATTACTCTTGCAGAAAATAAGCTAATGGAAAAGAGTGCAGAAATATATATACAAATATATGTGTATATATGTATATAACATAGGTACATATGTGTATATGTGTATATATATACATATATATGTACATATACATATATATGTATATATATATGCTAAGATGAAAGTTAAAGACTAAGTTCTCCCATAAAATGTGAGTAAAACTGACTGTAGAAAGACTATTAATTATAAAAGAGGCTGTGCAAGGATTTTCAAAGGAACATTTTGCAATAACCTTGCTAGTCAGCATAATTAATGAAGTACAAGCAACTATTTTTGCACAGTGTAGTGGAACAGTATTAGAAACGTGATTTCTAGCCCTGCCTGTATTATTTCCTAGGTATGTGACTTTGAGCAAATCACTTGGCCTATCTATTACTTATAAAAAAAAAAGTGAGGGAGTTAGACTAGATGATTTCTAAAGTCCTTTCAAGCTCTAGGATCTTATGTTTCTAAAAATAGCCACATGGGAGGTAAGGAATATGCCAAGTTTTTAAGTACTGTCACTGTTTCAAACGGTTTTACTTAACCTTTTCTTTGTTACAAAGGAAGATTTAATGGGATGGGAAGTAAATGTTACAAAAACAAAAGGTCTCAATAAAACAAAAAGGATTGTAGGAAAAAAATGTCCCAATATCCTTGACACTATCATAGACATTCTAAAATCATACAGAACAAGATTTATTGTCTATGGTGTTAGTGTTTTCTAGGTGACAATTTGGATGAAGCAAAGTTTATTGCTTTCACCAGTTTTGAAAAATTTTCTATTTGTTGTAAATTGTCAGTTGAATCCTGAATCTACTTATTCTCCTCCATTCCCCCTTCTCTGTTGTCATGAATTGTGCGCATATCTCTATTTCTCTTCTCTTACTTCTTTTACTTTTCTACACTAAACTGGCTATGATATACACATGTACTGTTGTTACAATTATTAAAGAGTTTTATGTTATATTATCTATTTTTAAAGTTAATGAACACTTTATAGTATTTCTCTATAAAACAAAGAAAATTTGCTTTTTATTTTGTGTGCCTCTTTTTTTTCTTATGTGCCACCCAGTAGCTATTTCTCAGCCAAAAAAAAATAGGCTTCCTACCCCTGCTAATTATTTCATGTAATATACTGGTACAGCAGTTTAAGAAAAGCATACCCTGAGTAAATCACTCTCTGAACTTGTTTCTTCATCTATAAAATGGGGAAGCTGAACCAGAAGAACTCAAAGGACCATTTCAGCTCTAAAACTATGATCCAATAAAACGTAAAGGATATGCTAAAATTTGAAAATACATAAAGATTTAAAAATTAAGTCTTTTGCTTCAAGGAGCAAGCACTAAGGGATATGACATATAGTAAATACAAAGAAATATTGGGAGATGGGAGAAGAATATTCCTTGGGATCTGGTATTTGGAGTTAGACTAAATTCCTTAGCCCATGGGCTCTTAGAATGGGGTTATTTTCTTGAGTCTAGCCCTAGGCTTCCTTTTAATATCTAACACTATAATAGTTTCTTTGAAGATAGGGTTAGGTTTTTCAAAAGAGCCAAAAGGAATTATGATTGTACACTCTTCCCTGGCATTTACCTTCCCAAAATACAAGCAGGGACTTTAATTTTGGCAATATATCCCAAAGATCCATACTTGTGCTCAATATTTACAAAAAAAAATAGCTACTCAACACATCCAAAAGTGGAATTAACTCAACACCAAAACATCATCCCTCAATAATTGCCTGGAGATCTCAAATATTTCAAGATGCATAATTTGCTGGACAATATAATCATAAAACTATTTAACAGTAACAACAATGCATATGTATATTGTAGCCAGTTAAGGATACAAAGTAAAAGAATAAGAGAAGAGAAATAGCAAAAATATACCACAATTCATGACAACAGAGAAACGAAAATTATTCAATTGACAATTTACCAGTGAACATTCATTCCACTGACAAGGTTCATCACCCTCTATAATTTAGGGTATTTGAGGTTTACTTTGTCCAAAAGATTCACCATTTGGGGTTATTTGTGAAATAAACCTCTCTAATCTTATCTAGACAGGTTCTCAACACAGAAAATACTGTTCTCTCTCTACACTTACAGCTCATCCATAGTTTCAAGTCACCGCTTCTGTGAGCATCTCCCAAGCTAATATCCCTAACTCTCATCTCTCAAATTCCATATTGTCTCCATGGACATCTTAAACACGTTTCCTGTCTTCTTCCATGCCCAACTCTCAAAAAGCCTAATCTGTTTACAGAAGAAATGACTGTTAAATGAAGTGAAATTATTTTAATGCACAGAAACAATGCCCCAAGGAATAAATTATGTGGGGTATTCATCATAACAGTGTCTTAGCAAGGCAGTCAAGTGGTGCAGAAGATAGAAAGCTGTATCTGTTGCCAGGAAAACCAGAATTCGAATTCTTTTCTGGATGACCCTAAGAGATGGATAAGGAAACTATTCTTCAGAAACTTATAGAAAAACAATTTAAAAAATCAGCTGTGTGACAGAGAGCCTCCTCATCTATGAAAGAGAAATAATAACATCGACTACCTCCTGTGGCTGTTACGAGGATAAAATAAGACTATTATTTACATTAGCTATTTGCTATTATGAGGCAGCTAGGTGGCCCGGTGAATTGTGCAGGGCTTGGAATCAGGAAGACTCATCTTCCAAAGTGCAAATCTGGCCTCACTTATAGCTGTGTGACCCTGGGCAAGTCATTTCACCCTGTTTGCCTCAGTTTCCTCATCTGTAAAATGAGCTGGAGAAGGAAATGGTAAGCCACTCCACTATCTTTGCCAAGAAAACTCCAAAATAGGGTCACGGAGAGTCCGAAACGACTTAACTATTATTTAGTCCATCTGTCATTGTTAAGTCAGCCAAAGGTTCCTAAAGGAGGAGGTACTTGGGGAGGGCTAGGCACCGGCTATATTTAACCGACTGATATTTGATAAACATCAAATACTACGACTGGGAAAAAACTTGAAAAGGGCGAAGTATGATCGATGGGAAGGAATTCACGAGCCCTGGAGGGTCCTTAGAGGGCCGCAGGACCCACTACGGGGTGAGAAACACGACGACCCTCCGAGCCCCTCCCTCCCCCACCGGGGGCTGCAAGGAAAGAGGGGAGGACGAGCCAGGCGCGAAGCCGGGCTGGCCCACACCACCCGCCTCCCTCAGCGGGGCCTCGAGTTGAGGGAGAGGGGCCGTGCTGATGGCGTGCCCCTCCCCGCCTCCGTTTAACGGTCACTCGGCACCTTCATCTTGCTAGAGAAAGCTCCAGAGACACCAGCATTCACTCACTGCCCGGAGAGCCAGAAACACTGCGCAAGTGCAGTCCCCGGGCTCGCGCTACCCGCCTCCCCTCCCAACCATCCCTGGGACAACTAATCAAGCCAGCTCCGTCAAGCTCGCGCCCGTCCTATAGCGAGGCTTCGCTTCAATCACGTGCCACAAAATTCCATTTTCCCGCACCCGAGGCTCTGCGTCAGTCTTTCCTCTCTCTCCTACGTCCCAAGTCTGGAGTTCGCAAGGTCTCGCGGAAGCTCCCCCTCTCGCGTCCGAGAAGCCCCGCCTTCTCCTATCTGGTCAACGCGGGTTGGCTGAACCTGAAGAATCTCCTGGGTGACGGGGTAACGCAAGAGAAGGTATGCTTCTGCGCAGTGGCTCGCTTGGGAGGCGGCAGGAGCCTAGCGATGAAGGTAAATACCTCGCGCATCCCGGGAGAGGCAGACCCAGGCGTCCCATCTTTCCTCATCCTCTCCCCGACCCAGCTGCCCTTTCGGGTGAGGAGGCTGTGTCCTCCACCCCACCTCTCCAGGGGGTGACGGGGAAGGGGGTAACAGAGGGTGACAAGCAGGGCTTAGGTGGGAAGAAGAGGAGCAAAAAAAGGGCATCCCCCCTTTCCTGATTGCCGGATTCTGTCTCTAGTACTTTCTAAAATTGAAAGCAGGGCTTGGAGAGTAAACTGTTGAGAGTGCAAGGGAAAGAAGAGCCATGAACATGCAGGACTTGAATTCGAATCAGGCTCTGCAGCTGACTGCCTGTATGACCTTGAACTAGTCGCTTTACTTCAATGGGCCTCACTTCCTCATCTGTCAAAAGAGGCGGCTGGGCTTTATTAAAGTTCCTTCCCATCCCCCTTCCAACATCCCATTACCTTCCTATGCTCCTAAATACTGAAACGTCAGCACTAGGTAAAAGAACTTGGGGATCATGGAGTCCAGTCACCTTCATGTGACTGATGAGCATACACAAGTGAATTATTGTCTTGAAGATCACGCAGCTACCTAGCGAGTTGTGCATTAACACAACCATCCCAGCGCCAGAAATATTTAAAGACTAGTCAAAGTATCTCAGAGTACCCTTTAAGTAAAAAGAGAAGTCATTGATAACTATCTTGGAGTGAGGATGAGGGTATCAAAAGGATCTAAACTGGATTCAACGTCTGGCCTGCAAATTTAAGGTGATGTGTATCCCTTCACCTTCATCTCTCTACCCCTGTTGCACAGCTGTGAAAGAATATCATGAGGCAGCAAAATCATAAAATCCCTAGTTGTTAGAGAAAGAAAGGTCATAAGATGCTTAGAAGCTATCAGTTATCGATATGTGAATTTTCCATTTTACACTACTTCCCATGAAATTTTAAATTCTCTCAGTTATCTGCTGAATTAGCTCAGCCATACAGTTTTCTCATTGCCACCTTCAAAATACACACAGTGTTTACATTGTTTCATTTAATTTTCATAGCACAGTCATTCTTATAAAGATTCATTATCCTCTTTGCACATGCAGGGCAGAATCTAAACAGCTTTTTTTGAATGAGAACCCTTACCTTCAGCCCCCAACATAATTGATTTATTTTATTGCTTTTCTATGAGTTTTTGAAGAATAGTTTCCTTATCCTTCTGGTAGAATCATCAAGAAAAGGAAAAAAAACTGTCTTCTCTTGGCAGTCCAAAAAAATAAGAAGTAATCACTTCAACTTTGGACTGTACACAATCTTAAACTATCCATGACAATACTCCCTTTTGTTAGCATGGATAACAATAATAAATTGCTTTATATATGTGCTTTAAAGTTTACAAAGCACTTTCTATGCCCAATATACTTTGATTCTTACTATAATTCTATGAGGTAGGTGTTACTGGTATTAATAAACCCCTTTTGACAGATAAGGAAACTGAAGCTCAGAAAGGCTGTGTTTTCATGTTTTCACAGTAGATAAGTGCCAGGGGTGCAGTTTGTGTTTCCTGACTCCAAGTCCAGGATTCTTTTACTGCATTGCAATGCCTCTCTAAATATCACAATAATAGAAAATTAATAATAAAGGTCAAAATTTTTCTGTTTATAAAGTTTATAGTATCTCATTTGATCTTCCCAAAAATACTATAAGATAGGTAGCACAGATGTTATTGTTATCCCATTATTAACATAAGAAAACTAAGTACAAAGATTAAATGACAAAGTTACAAACCTAGTAAGTAAATTGCAGGGGTGGAATGGTATTATTGTCATAGCATATATTATTGTCATAGTATCATTTTAATGTATTTAAATACATTTAAAGTATTCTTATAGTATACTTTTAAGAAAGAGTAACAAATTTCCTCCTTTTCTTTCTCCATTGGTTATAATGTTCAGTTTTAATCTTTGAAAGAATACAACATGTTGCCACAGGCCAGACCTATATGAAATCATCTTTACTAGGTTCAGGCTTTTATACCTGCTTTTGCATATGGTAAGGTTACCATTTGTTCATTACACTTAGAAATTGAGATAACTCCTTGGTACTGGAGTAAACATACATCTAGTAGTCAGTGCCTCCAAGCCTCTTGTGTCACTGCTATGTTTCAAAATGTCTGTGTGAAAGAGGAAGAAATGAGCCTTTGACAAATAGACCAGTGCAGAAGGGACAAATGAAGAATTTGAAAACTAATAATGAATGGAGATAATATAGCTGAAGAAAAGGGGGAAAGAGGATTTTAAAAGAAGTATCACACAAGTTTAGTTAACTTCATAGTTGAAATTTTAAACATAACTTTAATTCAAAACTTTACCATTATAATGCTAAAATTAATTATGTCAAGGAAGAGTTTAAATTTATTTAAATCCTCACAATCTTTAGAATATGTTATAAAGTCTCACATATGTTGATATTTAGGAGGTAGATACCATACATCCAACTTAAAGTGAGACTGCCTTATAACAAAATTCTTTCATCCTTCAGTACCTAAGCCTCTTTGGATGAAGTTTAAAGTATACCTACATTATACTGAGTTCTTCTTGATATGGGTAGTGTTCCTAATGAGGTTACAAGGTATGTTTTCCAAAATTGCCATTGTATTGATTTAATATTTTTAAAGTGGACCCTGAAATATACATTTTGAACATCTGAAACTAAACTTTTATTGTTGTTGCAATTGTTTTTTCCAGAAAGTTTTTACTCTCTTAGAAAGATCTTGGCTTGGTACTCCACTACAATTCACCTGGCAAAAGACATTAGGAAACTACCTAGCTGTAACAGGGTAAGAAAACAGCATTGTCAACTGCATCCATAAGATTTAAACAGTTCTACAATGTCATGCTTTAAACTATTTATCCTGCTTTAAACTAAAACCTTTTTTGATCTGGCTTCTATTTTTCCAGTTTTTCAAATTACTCCCCTATTCCATTCAAACTATATTAGCAGCTCTTCTCAGTATACAACAACTCATCTCCTGCCCCCATGCCTTTGCATAAATGATTCCTCACATCTGGAAGGCACTCTATCATTTTTGTCTCCTAGAATCCTTGCTTTCTTTCGAAGCACAAGTGCATGCCACCTACTACACAAGGCCTTTCCTGCTTCTCTAGTACTCTCCCTCTTGAAATTCTTTAGTACTATTTTGTATATACTTTTTATTTATTTAAAAGCATACATAATGTATCCTACAATAGAATGTAAGCTCCTTGAGGGAAGGGACTGTCTCATTTCTAAAAATTTCATATTTTTGTGTTCTAATATTATTTTAGAGCTGATCATACTATAAAAATCTTTGATCGTCATGGTCAAAAAAGAAGTGAAATTAATTTGCCTGGGTAAGTACAAAAAGATATCCAAAAGGTTTTTTTAGCTCTTTTGTTCTTTTTATATGCTTACTATTGAATGCTAACTAAAATGTTTTCTTACAACTACAATTAAATAGAATTTTATGTCTTTTATCTGCTATTAAGTGTAAATAAAGAATTAAATTTATAAACATGACAAAGTAAAGTTGTTGTGTATGTGAGTGTGTGATTATGAAAACTTGTAGAGAAAAACACTTTTCAACTAAGTGTCTCCCATCCATACATAAAAATTATTCAAAATTCCTTGAAAGATAGAACAACAGGGCTAACTGTTCAGCAACCCTCTAATTATAAACATTAGGCAGGGAAAGACATGCTTGCCAAATGTGTTGGCACCAAGTCTGAGTTGAAGAGGGATTCCTTGTGGATAGTGAGGTCCTTCAGATACTGAAGTTTGTGAACACCATTTTCCTGATGGCAACATGAGAGAGTCCCCCAGAATAAATCTGTAATTGCCTAAAGGAATTTGACATAAACATTCACAAAGACTGAATAGATGAAGGGCATCTATTGCCCAAATGAAAACATGCATTTGAATAAACAACCTACAGAATGAATGACCTATAGATGACTTATAGAATGAATTAAGGATTTATTAGATGTTTACTACATGTAAAAACATTGTGATAAGCCCTGGGGATATAAATAGGAAAGTTAGAATGTCTGGTCTCAAGGGGCTAACATTCTAATGAGGGAGACCGCACATATGGAAAGTTTCAGCTTCAAGTCAAATGGAAAAGTCCCATAGTCCTTAGAGTGAAGCAGCAAAGCAGATCTTAATTCCTCTTCTTTAATGTCATTTCCACTGACAAAATCCTATTATTTTTCAATGTTGAGCTGTTTTACAATATACCAAGCACTTTGGTGCCAGGACTTTCTTTTCTGGGTCTTCAATGGATGAGGCTGTAGCAGTTGCCAAGCTGTATCTCCAAAGGAATAGTATCCTAGGATGATGGCTATGGGCACTGGGCTGGAAGCATTGCTATTCCAAAGGCTCTTGGGTTCAGGACCCTGGGCTGTCTCCATCAGGGTCCAAGAGGAGATGATGATCAAGGTGGTAGTGGTAGTTTGACTTGCCTGGCACTTGCTAGCTCCTGTCTCTCCCTTAAGGTGCCCCATTGCTTCAGCTAACCTTCTCACCCTCTGAGAGAGAGCTCATCCATGCGTGTGTATATGTGTGTGTGTGTGTGTGTGTGTGTGCATAGGTAGAGACAGACAACTAGATTGAAAAGGAGAGCAGGCTAGATTTCTATGGAGAAATTGTAAAGTTTCTTTAATGAACCCAAACTTCCCATGAAAGCCTATCTTTTTCTTTTTTCTTATTTTTTTCTATCTTTTTAGTAACAAGATTCTATCATGCTGAAAAGTGTTAGGCAGAAAGATATAAAATACAACAATCTCTAAAGAACTAAAAATCAATATCTCACGGAGGACAATAAAGAAGCAGATAGTGGTTATAAGCAGGCCACCAATAATGCACTCAGAAGAAAAACTAGAGTAGAAAATGACACCAAGAAATTGTATGATTGGAAAAAAAGGCAAAGAATGACAGATGGACAGTCAGGGTGCTCCCATAATGTGCTTGAAAGGTCAGGAGACTCAAGGAAGGCCTCTAACACATTGTGGCACCCCCTGTGGCAGACTTAAAGTACAACTCATTCAAAATGGGCAGACATGGATGGGCTGAAATCTGCATCAGCAGAAGGAACTTTGAAATCAGTGAGATCAAAGATCCATTTCAGTGTGTATTCATAAAGATGGAGAAATAATAAAAGAGAGTATGAAGTAATAAGCCCAGTTCCAAAAGTCACACACCAGCCGTTCTTCATTGTCACACTTCTGTATGTGTTTTTTCATTAATTTATCTGTTCAACAAGAATTCAAAGTGTTCTGTGTATTAGGCATGAAAAATAAAGACAAAAATGATGCAGTCCCTGTACTCAAGGACATTCTATTGGAGGGAAACAAAGTATACAACTAAGTAAAAGCAAAATATGTGTAAAACAACCTGGAGAAAAGAGCACTCATAAGTAGCGATCAGATAGATAATACTATATAGGGGATGACATTGAAGCTGAATTTTTAAGGAAGCTGGAGATTTTGAGACGAGTAGGTCATATGTTAAAGATATACGGTTAACATATATGGATCTGGAAGTTATATGCATAGAGATGATAAATAAACTCATGAGAGCTGATGAAGTTACCAAGTGAGAAAGTAAAGTATCTCCTTTTCATCAAGAGAAAAAAAAAGATCTCAGGACAGCTTTGTGGATATACCTACATTTAGGGGGCATGACATGACTTTTAAACCACCATAGGAGACTGAGGAGCTATCAGACCTAAGACAACAGTCACAAAAACCCAGAGAAGAAAGACATCCACTAGGAGAGGATGTTTCAACAATGTCAAATGCTACAAAAAACTCAAGGATTGAGAGAAGTCCATTCAGTTTTACAATAAACAGATCCTTGGCAACTTTTTTTATTTTCAGTTGAACAAGGCCAAAAGCCAGATTGTAAAGGATTTTACACCCAAGTAAGAGGAGAGAAAGTATAGGCGATAAGTTTAGATAGCTTTTTCAGGAAGTCTGGCTGAGAAAGGAAAGACAAAGGACAGCAGCTTGGGGCAAAGCAGGGTCTAGTGAAGGGTTTTAAGGAGACAACCAAGTTTATAGGCAACATGGAAGGAATCAGTAGATAGCAAGAGAAGAGTACAGAAAGAGGGATGATGATCATGGAGGCCATCTGCTAGAGAAAACAGGAGGGGACAGGATCAAGGATACAAGTGGAAGGATTGATTGTGGCACGGAGAAGGGCCCCCTCTTCATCAGAGACTGGACCAAAGAAGGAGGTAGTGAGAGATGATGCTAAGGAATTGAGAGATGGGAAGGAGAGAAGTGGAAGCTCACAGTGAATGGCTTCTTAATTTTTCAATAAAATTATGAAACGTGATCTTCAGTTGAGGGGGTTCTGTGGGTAGCCCAAGAAAAGAAGAGATGTGGGACAGCTGATGGAAGGGGAATAGAAGAGGAAATCAGTTGGGGAGGAATGAAAAGATAGACTGGCTTGAGTGAGATTAGATAACTTGAATGTAGAGTGGAGCCGGCATAGTTGCCTGTGAGCAGGATTGGAGGAAACTGATGACAGCAGTAATCCAGAGTTGGGGCTGTCAAGCCATGAACAGCAGTAGGGCAAGGGAGTAGGAATTTAGAAAGCAGAGAATCGTATGCAGTTGAACTGGTGAGCTAAAAGACTGAGTTTGGGAAAGGAAGACAGTGTAAGCAGAACAAAAGTGATTGGTCATAGGATCCTAGTTTTAGAGGTAGAAGAAATCTGAGAGGTCATCTAATCCAGCCCTTCATTTTACCTATGAGGAAACTGAGGACTCTTAGAATCCTTTGTATCCTTTGAAACTGCTGAAATTTTACCTTTCTTCTTATAGTCTTTCCTGATCCCCTCCCAACTGCTGATGCCCTCCCTACAAAATACATACATGTGTATATGTGTTTGTGTTTGTATATATAACTTTATTTTGTATATATTTATTTATGTACATGTTGTCTCCCTAATTAAAATGTAAGCACCTTGAGGGCAAGGGCTATTTCAGGTTTTTTTGTATTCCCCCTAACACACTACCCTATAGTAGATTGTTAAAAAGCTTGTTGACTGATCCATTGTGGATTAATGAAAAATATATCTTGTTATATATTTTCCCCTAACCCCCTGAGAGAATTATTTTAAGGATCTAATAACACAAATTTTAGCAGTGTAAAGAAAGGTTTGGTTTTTTTTTAATTGGAATATACAGGTTTTCTTTTAGATGTTAACTGATACTTACATATACAAATATGTGTATACACATACATATATATGTGCATATACATACATATATGTTAATATATTCTTTAAAAAAGAAAATCCTAAAATGACAACTGAACAGTCATATAAGAAAGAGGAAGATATCATAATTAGTTAAACATGAACAGAATAATTACAAACCATAAAAGTGAAACATACTATACAGCTAGATCCTGATTATACAAACAATAATTAGAAATTTCTTGAGGACAATAACTGTCTTGTTTTTGCCTTTGTATTCCCAGCACCTAAAAGCTAATGTTTATTTAACTTGTTGAAATGGTATTACAAGGAAAATTGAACTCTGCTCTCTCATGTGGAATAATTCCATTGTATAAGAGATAAATAGTTTTTTCTCCTAAAAAAAAGTTTTATCCTTGCAAAATGATTCATTCTCCAGGTTGAATATCCACAAACAAATGGGCTTTGGGATAAAAACTTTACAGACAATTTATTGTCATTCTTTAGTTGTGTTTATGGTTAACCATTTGTTTTCTCTTTATAAAAAGTAACTGTGTTGCTATGGATTGGGATAAAGAGGGAGATACCCTAGCAGTGGTTTCTGAGAAATCTAGTTCCATCTATTTATGGGATGCCAATACAAATAAAATCAGCCAGTTGGACAGTGGCATGAGGTAAGGATAACTTTTTAATTATAAAAGTTTTACTTAAGAGTTTATAATTATTCTGATTTTTATTTTGACAGTATCATATATTTTATATGGATATAATCTATGTTTTCCCTAATTTTTATTTTTAATGTACTTTTTTATTTTTAATGTGCTTTTTAAAAAAGTGAGACATATTCTTATAATCAGAACATTTTCTGGCAGATGCTGTTCTTTAGTCAGTTGGTTTTGCTAAACTGCTTTTCTTTACTATAGGGAAGGATCCGTGGAGAGGGGAGAAATTAGCAAAAAATAATCATAGTCTAAAATACAAAAGATCAATAAAAATTTTTAAAGAAAATATGTAGCTATTCATTTATAAAAGAAAAAAGTATTGGTTCAAGTCAAACATGTAGTACAGTATTAGCTAAGAGAGTCAGTATTGCATAGTGGATAGTGAACTGACCTTGGAGTTAGAAAGACCTAGGTTCAAATCCCACCTCTTACACATACTAGTTGTGTGACCCTGGACAAGTCTTTTAACTTATATCTGCCTATAAAAGTATTAAGTTGAAGAAAAAGTGGATATCTGTTATTTCCTCGCCAGAACTCCCTACACCAAAAAAAGCACAGGTCTAGTAAAAATAATGCAAAACCAATAAAAAAAAAACTGAAACCCTGACAGCGCTAGCTCTACAAGAATTGAGAAAAAGTATCCCCAGTCTAATATTTTGCAATACAAGTACACATTGAATAACATTTTAAAAATTATGTGAATTGTTCTCCCAATTCTATTCTTTTCAGAATTTGAGAATGTGACTATTCTGTTTTAATCACATCCGATTTATTTAGTGTGTGAAATTGGACTGAAATCTGGACTCTGAGTTGCAAGTTACCTTAGAGGTAATATAATCCAACTTCCTATTCAGTGCAGGGATACCTTCCTAGTGTATAGGAAGTGTATAGCATGGGACAGTGTATATCATCTCTGACAGATAACTGTATACACACTTTGTTTGAATGCCTTGGAAGCATTGTAGCAAAATCCAAATAGCAGTGGATTTAGAGTCAGGGGACCTGTGTTTGAATTTCAGCATAGTTGTTTGCCATCTGCAAGACCTTGTACAAGTCAGCTAATGTCTCTTGAGGCACAGTTTTCATTTCCATAAATGTGAGAATTGGATGTGCAAGCTATCTTCCATCTCTAAATCTTGTGACCTCGAGAAAAGTAAAGCTCCCTAAATCCTATTGATGCCTCCTTTATTCTTATGTGGAGCTAAAAATCTGCCTCTTTGTAACTTCTACCTCTTGTTTCTATTCCAGCCCAGGTCAATTTACTGTTCTTCATGATAGCCTTTCAGATAGCGGAGTTTCCCCTTTGTCTTCTTTTCTCCAGTCTTCATGTCTCTTCTTGGACATTTCTGGGGTTATATCATGGTACTTGCAATAGGAAGGGACCTCAGTGGCCATCTGATCTAGCTTTGTCATTTTGCAGATCAGGACCCTGAGACTTAAAGGGGGAAAATGACTTGGCAAAGGTCACATGAGTAGTAAGTAACAAAGCCAAGATTTGAACCCAAGTCTTCTGATTCCAAATCCAGGACTCTTCTACACAGCCCTTCAGTTGCTAGAGTCAACAGAGGCACTTCTACAAGTACCTGTGTTGCAAAAACATAATGTTGTCTATGTATTTTTAAACTTATTTTATCTATTTCTATCCTGTCTTCCCAGGTTAAACTTTTAAAAGAATTGTAAATGAGATGGAAAATTTACTTTCTTCTTCTTGAGTGAAAGTGCTTTTAAAAAATTAAGTAGATGATCATTAAGAGAAAAAAGGAAGAAGAGAGGCTAAGAACATAGATCTCCCACCTAGATTACTAAAATCCTATATAATAAAATTGACTATGCAAGACACACGTTTGGTTTTCAGTCATCCCACTCATGCTGCAGAACTATCTTTAATCATAACTCATGTCAAAGTGCAGATCATATCTTGGTATTGCTTTCAAACCAACAAAAAACAGATTTTTCTTATACATGAAAATAACATTAAAACTATTAGTATATTAGTCCAAGTAGCAGCTGCCCCCTCAAAATTGACCATACCCTTACTATGAGATCTCTTTGAAAAGATTTAAAGATATGCACCAAAAATACTTTTAATTACAGTTTTTATTCATATTTTGTATAAACTAAATTTAAGGAAAATAAAACCTGCATTTAAACCAATATAATATTTTGATTGACATTTTTATAAATACGGTGACACAGACTAAATCAAAATTTGCTACCATTTAGAAAAAGGAAATACATACACATGTATATGATGTATTTGCTGCCAATTAAAACTTAAAATCATGAATATTTTATAAATCCTGTGTTATCCCTTCCTAGTTCTAATTATTTGTAATATAACCAGAACAGTGTATCTATCATATTCACATGAAATTTGAAGTACCACCATGAAATGAAATGTACAGTCTTTTTCATTATTAACTGAACCTCAGGTCAATTGTCTGCTTTTCTAGTATATTTTTTGAATTTATGATTCTCTTATCCTGAAGGAATAAGATGTAATTTGGTAATCAGCCTTCCAAGTCAGATGATAAAAATTCCTTATGAAATAATTTGAACTTATTTAAAGATCATTACTATGAATATCCTTCACAGTTATGTTTAAATATTGCAGGGATCAAATGTCTTTTCTTCTCTGGTCAAAATATGGAGCATTCTTAGCTGCTGGAACCGTTAAGGGAAATTTGCTTATATATAATCGTCAGACTTCTAGAAAGATCCCTGTCCTTGGTAAGTTGTAAATGGAAATATATTAAATCTTGCAAAGCACTCTATGGCATTGTAGATTGTACCTCTCCAAAGCTATATATGACTATTTGGACCTCCAGACCTGAGGCCAGTGCAAAGGCATGAGATGCGTGTGCTCCGTGGTCTAGCCCAGCTGGCCTTTGTACTGTCCTTTACACAATATTCTTGTCTCCTGACCCCATGCCTTTGTGATAGCTATCTACCACGCCTAGACTGCACTTCCCCCTTACATCAACCTTCAAGAATCCTAGTTCTCTTTAAAATTCTACTCAAGTGCCACCTTCTACATAAAATCTTTCTTGATCTCCTGAACTACATTCTCTCCACCCTAAATTACTTTGTATTTACTTTGTAGTTACTAATGCATGTACCTTTTGTCTCCTCTGACAGCATAGAAACTCCTTGAGAGGCAGGGACTGTTTCTTCGCTTTTATCTTTTTTAACTTCTGCACAGTACCTGACACTTAGTAGGTGCTTAGTAAGTGCTTATTGACAAATTGATTAGCACCTGCAAACAAAAACAGGTCTCATAATCCTATCCTCATCTCAATTGTAACACAGAGAAACACTGACCCTCCACCCCAGAGTCACCTGAGCCATTCATTTGGGTTATTCATTGGGTGTCCCCTTTGGAAGCAATGAACTGAAGCAACAATTTGGTATCCCTCTGAGTAGAATGAATAGTGCCAGACCTCAAACACTACTCAGCTCCTCATCATTTTGTGCCCTTCCTGTCCCATCTTAACCCACCATCACCACCTTGAACTTTAATCCATTTGGAAAGTGGAGAAAGGAAGGTTTTCTCAGGATCTAGAATTATGTAAGCTAAATGTGGCTTATGGTCCAAAATCATCCATATTTTTCCTGATCTGTAATGGAATCTATAATGGAAATTGTTTAGTTTACTTCTAACCATACAGATATTTTAAATGGTTAAGATTTCTTCATTCTTTTTTAATAATCACTCCAGTGGCATCTATTTTGTAATTCCAGAGAATTAATGAGGAGAGACAGGGACAGTGGTTATTTTATCTATGTGGGTGGTATATAAGGCAAGGACTGTCAGTATTTGTTGTTTTTATGTTCATCACAGAGCAGCTATTCATTTATGCAGGCATTATCTATTCCTCTTACATGAGCTAGTTTAACAGGTGTTCATTAAGTGTAGCAGAGCAGCATGGCAAAAAGAGTTTGGATGAAATAAGTAAAAGTGACCAGTAAGAGCTGGCCTGGAAACCACAAAGACCTGGATTCAAATCCTGATTGACACATATTGGCTGTTTTACTTAGATGCATTAGGCATCTCTCTAAAATTTTAAGTCCTGCATTGGGAGAGTAGTTTCCTCATCTTGGAACTCCCTACACCAATGAAATCACAGGTCTTGTCCATATCCCTAGCCTTACCATTTAAGTACATGGCACCAAACTAGGTGATAATGAAGGTTACAGAGGAAGTAATAGATGTGTTCCTTGCTCTTGAGAAACTTGCATTGACATCTTCTGTCAACTCACATTGCAGTGAATTTAGCTGCAGGATTTATTTCTCTTAGAAGTAAATTCATGTAACAGAATACTAGTAAAATATGACCAAAAATTGAATATCATTTTTATATTAGTGTTAGATTTCATATCCATATAACAAATATTAGCATTGACTTGTTTACAATCATCAGACTTCAGAAAGAGTTCCTATTCTCCATAACTTGTGATTGAAATGTATTAAATGTTGGCAATATACTTTATTTGGAAATGTTGCTATTAAGTGCCATTACAAGAATGGCAACATACCAGCTTCATAAGAATCTCTTGATTTCTTCTCTGTTAATCCAGTTTTCAGTGTTCTACTTGAGCTTTCATTCAGATTCATTGCCATTAAGGATTTTGGTTGTGTTTCACTGAAACACAACAAACACAGTCTATGCTAAGACTGTTTGCTTTTCAGGTAAACACACTAAACGGATCACATGTGGCTGTTGGAGTTCAGAAAATCTACTGGCATTGGGAAGTGAAGATAAGATGATAACAGTTAGTAATCAGGAAGGTGATACCATAAGGCAGGTAATGCAAATTTTCCCCACCATTAAAAACTTAGTCCGTATAACCAATATACATTTTTCCTATGAACCAAAGTTGTTCTGCTCTGCAGCAAAATATGAATATTAAATTTATTTTCTGTTAAATGCATATTGAAAATATCACAAATGCTTTATTTATTAGAATGGGGGTTTTGGTACTATATATACCAATTCAAATATTGTTCCCCTCTTACTTCATCTCAGCAACATTTGAATAGGATTACCTTCTTTATGGTTGTATCCTGACAGTGGATTTAGAGGACATTTTAAGATAAACTTGTAAATGTATATACAGATTTTCTACTCTCTCCTAATAATTTATATTCCATGTTTAGCATCATCATTTATTTCATTTTTCTGACACCTCACATCCATTAAAATTCCATGTTTTAATTTAATTGGATTCTTTGAGGGATAATATATATTGGGAAACAAAAATTAAAAAAATAATAATTTTCAGAATTAACCACCCTTCAGTAATCAAGAATTCACTTTATTCAAAATGCACGCTGTCTTGGGGTTAGGGAGGGACGAGTTGGGGAGAAAATTTGGAACTCAAAATCTTGTGGAAGTGCATGTTGAAAACTAAAAATAAACAAATCAATGAATCTCAAAAAAAAAAAATAGTTCACTTTAGGCCTCAGAACAAATAAATCTGGACCCATAAGTTTGTTGATAAAACTCCCAGATGAAGAATTTCCCTTTATTTATATAAGTATATACCTTCCTCTGCTTCTTAGAATTACCTAGACCATTGAGCAGTTAAGTGATAAATGAACTCAGCTAGATAGGGTAGAACAAACATGGTTAAGAGTCAATTAAAACACAAGATACAAAAGGAAATAGTAAGAGAACACTCAGCTATTTTAAATTAATTCAGTTCTCCTGGTCCAGATGAATTGTATCTGAAGGTACAGAAAGAATTCATAGATATGACTGTAGAATTATTGTTAGTAAACTTTTATGAATCATGAAAAGCTACTCAAACACTACAATACAGATGTCATAATTTTTTTTTAAAAAACATTCCATAAATTACAAAGCAGTAAAGATGACATCCATTTCCAGAAACATATTAGAATGGATTATTTTACTAAAACTGGTCTTAAAACACATTAAAGTCAATCAGACATTACCAAACACTAACTTGAGTTCATTAAGAATAGATCTTTCCAAACTCATAAAATTTCCTTTTTTGATATTATGATCAGAAGAATTCCTTAGAAATAGCAAGGCATTTGGCAAAATTTGCCATGCTATCCTTGTGGAAAAATGAAGAAAGATGGGTTAAATGATAATAGTTAGGTGACTTTGTAACCCCAGAAGTGTTGGTTAATTGATCTATGTCCACCTGAAGGACATTCCTGGTGGTGGGCTTATCAGTGATCCTGATTTTTTCAAAAGTTAGTTGTCTGTCCCATCTTTCTTTCAAATTTGATAAGCCTACCATACATCTGTATTTTCATCCAAGTTATTCAATGAAGATTTTTAACAGAACAGGGCCAAGAACAGAGTTCTGTGGCATTCATTAGAGCCCTCCCTACAGATTGAGATTAGTCGTTATTCTTTTGGCTTGATCATTCAATCAGTTATGAATCCACCTTACTATGTTATCTCTCCATCTTGTACATGAAATTTAATGAGAAACTTTCACGCAATTCAACAAGTATTTATTGAGTGCCCACAATGTATGTACAAGACACTATGCTAGGCACTGGGTATCAAAACAAAAATGAAAAATGGGCCCTGTTCTCAAAGTCCCAAGCTTTAGGATTCTGTACTCCTTAACGTCTTACTAGCTGTCCTCTGGACGCTTATTCATTTTAAACTGTGCCACCCAGAACTGAACATAATACTCCAAATGTAGTCTAACCTTTGCAGAGTACACAAAGACTATTCCTTTTCTTTATCTGAACATACCATTCTTTTAATGCAGTCTAAATAACTTTAGCTCTTTGATAGCTATAGCAAACTTAAAAGCTCCAAGTCTTTTCCATGTGAATTGGTGCACATGATTTTTAAAAATTTTAAGTGCAGGATTTTACATTTGTTCCCATTAAATTATAGCTTATTGATTATAGCCTATTTTTCCTGCCTATTGAGATTTTGAATCCTAGTTTCTCACATTCAGCGGATTAATTAGCCCTCTAGTTTTACGTCAGCCACAAATTAGATGAGTATGCCTTGTATGTCTTCAAGTCATTGAAAAAGTAAATTGAGACTAATCTTGAAGGCAAAAATAGAGTGTCAGAAATGAAGAGAAAAGTATTCTAAGCACAGGATACAATGTATGCAATGTTCTGGAGATGAGAATTGTTAAGGTCAGGGTGTGGGGGGAGACAGTAATCAGATTGACAGGGCCAGAACAGAAGTAACCATGAACGTATCCAAAAATGAGATAAATCTATATTGGACTTGATCACCAGTCATAAATTGTTTTTATTTTTATTTTAAAGACTCCAGTCCGATCAGAGCCTAGTGATATGCAGTTTTCAACAATGAAGACTGACGACAGAAACTCTGCTTCTGAAAGCACAGTAAGTATTCAGAATCAGGTCTATGTTCAAATCATCTTGGTGCTTCTGTAGAGTTTAAAAATACAACATCGATTTGTGCTAAAAAAAATACTTAAAAAACCCTAAAAATGATGGGTATGGAAGGGCCCCTTTAATATGATAAAAAGTGGCTATCTAAAACCAAAATCTAGCATTATTTGCAATGGAGAAATATTAAAAACTTTCCAAATAAATTCAGGGTAAGATAAGAATGTGCTATCTTGTCTCTATCATTTAATAGTTCCTGAAATACTAGTGATAGCAGTAACCAGAGGAAATTAAAGGTATAACATCAACAAAAAGGAAACAAAACCATCCTTATTTATAGATGTGATAAAACTCCAGCAAATGTGAACTAATTAAAATAATTAATAGCTTCAGCATAGTAAAAGAATACAAAATCCACAAAAACAAATCCCAGGCATTCAAGAAGTAACAGAGGTGCCTGTCAAGAACCTATCAGCAGGAGCAGCTAGGTGGCACAATCGATAGAGCACAGGCCCTGGAGTCAGGAAGAGCTGTGTTCAAATCTGGTCTCAGACCAGACACTTGACACTTACTAGCTGTGTGACCCTGGGCAAGTCACTTAACCCCAATTGCCTCGCCAAAAAAAAAAGCAAACTACAAAGCCTATCAGCAATACTTCACATAAATTGCACCAATTCCAGAAGGGTTTTCTGTAGTACCATGAACTGCTACTAACCTGTAGAGAAATGAATGACATTTTCTGAACAACTACTAAGAAGCCAGGCCAGATCATTTAGGGACATGCTGTTTTAACATGAACTTTCATTTTGGTTTTTTTTTGAGGGGAGGTAATAGGGGTGAAGTGACATGCCCAGTGTCATACTGCTAATAAGTGTTTGAAGTCAGATTTGAACTCAGGTCCTCCTAACTCCAGGGTGAGTGCTCTATCCACTGCACCACCTAGCTGCCCCTTAGTGTGAACTTTGTATATCTGCCTGGTCTAGTTCTATAGCTGTAATATGAGCAAAAATCCCACTTGTTCCTGGGGGTAGAAGAACCATTACGTGCGAATATAATTATCTAGGTCCCAGGACATTAATGACATCATTCATTTAAAAAAACATCCCAGAAGACTGACTTTGGTATGTATGATAAAATATCTTAGATATCATTAAAGTCTTTCCAAATTACCAAAGTGTATTAGTTCAATACATTTTGTATTAATGTTGTTTAACATCTTATGTGACTAATTGTAGGATTTAGCACATAGAAATCATATTCCTCTTTGTGGTTGTTTGTTTGTTTGTCCTTCATTCTCAAAGAGGACTTTGACATCAGGGAGGTGATGCCATGACATGCAAGTGAATTAGATTTAAGTGAGGAAGGGCTGTGCAAAGTCACTAGCCACATTCCTGTTTACATTCTTCACAGGTATACAGTTTTGTCAGTATAGGTATTGCCTCCTCCAAAGTCAATCACAACTCCCCAATGGCTTGGTTAGACAGTCTACAAATTGTCATAACTGAAGAACGTACCATCATAAAGCCAACTTGGTAATGAGTCTCTCTGACCTTAGCAACGCTGGCTCATGGACAACTGATGCACCAAATGGTCCATTGCTGGGACTGTTCTCTGTGCCTTTTCAGTCTGGCAGGATCTGCCAGAGCTACTCTTCTTCTGGCATAGCCTTCAGGAGTCAGGGTCACTGTACTACAGTGAGGTATTACAACAAAATACGGGTGAAGAATACTAGATTCTACTGTATAAATAGCATTCATCTTTTTCACGAAGCACTGTGCCTTCTGTTTCACTCTGGTTTGTATTTTGTTGGTAGATAAGTGTGGTGGTTGGCAAGAAAACTTTATTTCTTTTCAATCTAAATGATCCAGATAGCCCAATTGATCTAGAATTTCAGCACCGCTATGGCAGCATTGTTTGTTACAGTTGGTAAGTACCAAAGTTTTAAAGAGAAAGAGAAGTTCATGTCTTTTTCTAAATTAGTTATAGCATTTCATCTTCATGTATATGTTTTCATTCATTTTCATACATATGTCCATCTGTAAGATTAATATCTTCAAGATTATAAAATATTTTAAAGTAGTAAAGTCTGCATTTAAAAAATTACTTTCAAGTCTGTCTTTAGTCTATTTTCCATATAGATGCTAAAATGATTTTCCTTTAGAACAGGTCTGACCATGTCACTTTCCTGCTTAGCAAACTCCAATGGCAACCTGTTTCCTTTAGGTTCAAATACACACTCATCTGTGTGACTTCTAATGCTTTCACAAAATTAGCTGAAATGAATTTTTCTGTCTTTATTATACTTAACACTTCTTCCCATATTCAGAACTTCAGCCACACTGGCCTTCTTGCTCTTTCTCACACACTATGACCCACCTTCCATCTCTGTTCCTTTGCACTGGCTGTCTGCTACACCTGGAATGCAAGTCTTCCTCACTTCTCCTCTGTAGAAGTCCTAGTTTCCTTCAGATCTCAAGCTTGGGGGCAGCTAGGTGGTGCAGTGGATAGAGCTCTTGCCTTGGAGTCAGGAGGACCTGAGTTCAAATTCAGCCTCAGACACTTGACATTCACTAGCTGTGTGACCCTGGGCAAGTCACTTAACCAAGATTGCCTCACAAAAAAAAAAGCTCAAGCTCAGCCTTCTACATGAAGCCTTTCTTGATTCTTCCCCAGCTGCTCCCCCCCCACATTGCCTTGTATAAATTTTGTATGTGCTTTTTAGATGTACATGTTGTCTTCCCTCATTCAAGTGCAAGATCATTGAGGGTAAGGACTGTTACATTTTGTCTTAGTTTCCCTAACACCTGGCACAGTGCCTACTCATAGTAGATCCTTACATGCTTTTCAATTGATTGATTCTATAATTATCTATTTAAAAGGCATTTTTTTTACCAATAATAGTGTTAGTCCCCAAACTGTCAAAAATTTTAGCTACAGTTGCTTTTAATTTGACAAATTGATCTATTATCTTTGTATTACATTGCTATTTGTGTTGCTTACAGGTACGGAGATGGTTATATAATGATTGGTTTCTCACGGGGAATTTTTGTTGTCATTTCGACTCATATTCGAGAAATTGGTCAAGAGATCTTTCAGGCTCGAAACCACAAAGATAACTTAAGTAGTATTGCAATATCACAGTCCCTTAACAAAGCTGCTACATGTGGGGACAACTGGTAAGTTATATACTCAAATCTCTAAAAAAAAAAAAACCACAAAGGAGATATCAAGATAATTTCTCTAATCTAGCAGGAAAAGGCATTTGTTTGAAATTGTACAAGATGAATTTGCAGTAGATCAGATCTGCCTGGTTCTTCATCTTTCTTCCTCAGTGCTCTGTGTCCAAGGAACAAGAAAATCATTCTGTGGTATAGCTCTTAAACTAGAAATTGGGATGGCATATGGTGAGAGAGATATAGGCATCTACTGTACCCAGGACTATCTATCCACTCAACAGTGATGCCCAGACTTCACATTCCAGACCTCTTCCTCACAATCACACCACACAGCTCCAAATTACATAGCTCTGCTACCTCTTTTCCCTGATATGAAAAAAAAATTAGTTCCAGTTAGGTTGATTTTTACTACCAAAACTTTCCATTTAGATTGCCCATCTAATGGCCTAAAGGCAGGAAGAGTAAATTATGACTAAACTGTCAAACTTGAAAAGCTGGGACAAAAATAGTGTCATAGCAAATATAGGACATATGAGAAGGAGCTAAATTAGTGAAAGAAGTATCTGATTATATTAAATTAACTTTAGCACCCAAGAATGGTTGCTTTTACCATTCAGAGGCACTCTGGTGTTAGAGTGAGAACTTTTTTTGAATTATTACTCCTCAATTTGCTCTTCTTAAAAAAATTTTTAAATTCTGAATTTAACAAACACCAAATAAAATGAGCATCTCAATTTGCAAAATAAAACTGAAAGAGGGGATTGAAACCCACAACACTATTACAGATATCTTGCTTTTCCTTGCAAGTATATATTAAATTCAACATGTAAGTTTCAAAGCTAGCATGCTTGTCTGCATTTCCTTCTGACCTCTCTTCCTTTCTTTTTTTTTTTTGGTATAAATCTATCACCACCCATCTCACCCTCACCTCACCCACCCAAATTAAAGCAAAAAGAAAGAAATAAGAAAAAACAAGATCTTTATAACAAATGTGCACAAACAGAATATTTCCATATTAGTCATGTCCAAAAATGTATGTCTCATTTGGCACCTTAAGTCCATCACTTTTCTCTCAGGAGGTAGGTAGCATGTCTTCAGTCATCAATCTTCAGGGGTCATTATATTGATTAGAGATCTTAAGTCTTTTCTGTGCAATATGATTGTTATTGTACATATATTTTTCCCCTGTGTCTGCTCACTTCTTTCTACATTAATTTATATAAGTCTTCCCAGGTTTCTCTGAAACCATTCCTTTTGTCATTTCTTAATATGCAATAATATTCCATTATATTCATATATTATATTTTTTCAACCATTTCCCCAAATGATAGGTAACCTCTTAGCTTCTGATTCTTTGCTATAATAAAAAGAGTCACTACAAATATATTTGTTTAGATGGGTCTTCTTCCTCTTTCTTTAATGTCTTTGGAGGTATAGGTTTAGTAGTGGTATAGCCAGGCCAAAGGGTTTGCACAGTTTAGTAACTCTTATGGCATAGTTTCAAATTTCTTTCAATAAAAGCTGAACCACTCTACCATTCCACCAACAGTACATTTCACTTAACCTCTTGGCAAGACTTGATTTTCTCATCTATAAAATATGGATAATAATATTTGTACTACTTATCCCACAAGGTTAGTGTGAAAAAAGTTTTATTAATATTAATTCATTTCAATTCGATACACATTTATTATGCACCTACTATGTGCCAGGCCCTGTGCACAGCACTATTGTGTGCTATGTGTGAGTTATTATTATTGACACTTTCTTAGATACTCTTGCCATACATTTTAAATATTTTGTGACTGGAAAATCCCTGAAACTTTAATTTCTTCATTGAATTTGCTTTTTGATTCATTTTTTATCTTTGGTTATCAGGATATGTGAAACAGAAATTCCAGGGTATGAACATTTGAGTTATAGTTTAGCAGCACACCTTTTTAATAATACTATCGAGTAATAAAAATGCTGGACATTGACCTAAAATACATTTGGTTAGATTTTTACATTAAATCTTGTGATAAATCTCTTTTAGAATTGTTATGAATTAACAGTACCTAGTACACTTATATGTTGATGTCGTAAAATCATAGAATCATGGTATTTTCAAGTTCTTTAAAATCTTGTCTATTATTTATACATGGAATAGGTGTCTATCAACGGCCAGCGATACATATTTCTTAAATTATATTTCCAGTAAAATGATAATTGCTTCTTCTGGTTCTTATGATTAACTAGATCTGTAAGGTTGGTGGTTGGACATAGAAGCATAGTCTTCAGTTATGGAATGGGAAAAGTAGCTTGCCTCTGACCTTCTGGTCATGTCCTAATCAATTCAGCTAATACAGGTACTGATGTTTACAATGGTCATGATTGTGTAGGTGGATAAGGAGTAAAATTGGTACATTTATCTTTACATTGGGTACATTTACTTTTAGAAGTACATTAACTTCCATAACACTAGAATCCTATTTAATGCATGAAATGAAAGAGTTAACACACATTTCAAAATGTTAGAAATTTATTCCCAGGGAAGAGTTAAATAAATCCAGCATTTTAATAATAAATAAACATCTAAAATGATTGGTGATCTACTATATTTTGTTAGAAGATGCATCTTTATTTTATGGGTCTTAGTAATAGTGATAGTATTAGTAACAAAGACATTTTAAGGAATGAATGTTGAGATTCATTGAGACTATGAATTAAAAGAACTTGACCTAACTGAACAGATATGAAAGAAATGGTTTACTAAGATAGCCGCATAGAACATGGGACTGGTATTTCAAAGATCCTACCTCCATCATTACCCATACCAAATTCATTGTGCTAAATCTAACCATGTTTACTTAGACTGAATCTGTTTTTGGAAGTACGATGGTAATATTCTTTTTGTATTTAGTGACTCCATTGTTTCCTTAAATCAAGCTCTGTTTGGAATTTTCCGTTTTTAAAATATTAGATAAAACTAATAATTTTTATTTTGTTTTTCAGCATTAAAATCCATGACCTCTCAGAACTAAAAGAAATGTATGCTATAATAAACCTGGATGATGAAAATAAAGGTATTCTATTAATTTCTAAAATAGATTAACACTGAATGCATTTACTTAACAGATAATATTAGTGTTTATAATTTTAATATTTTTATTTATTACAGGAAGTTTGAGATATATCTTGTACCTTTCACTAGTTTCTGAATTTGCATTATTTGTATTTATTTTTAATTTGAATGATTATTTGAATTTTCATTACTTGTGTTAATTAATTTGTATTTGTATTAGTTAATGCTACTTAAATTGAACTGAAGAAGTCCACATGTTTAAAATATTTATCATGGATTTTATTATAGCTCATTTGACAGCCAGGTGATAGTGGATAGAGTGATGGCTTGTTCATGTCCTTAATTCAAATCCTGCCTTAAACATTAGCTAGGTGACTCGGGTAAGTCACATAATGTCTCTTGGATTCAGTTTGTCATCCGATAAATGCAGAGTTTGAACTGGATGACTTCTCAAAGATCCCTTCCAACTCTAAATCTATGATCTGTGTGATCTGTGTTTACAAATGCAAAAATGTACTTTTCACTTTGGTTGGATATATATTCTATATACTCTATATGACACTAGCTGGTACAATTTCTACTCTGAAAATAATTACCATAGGCCAAGGAAAAAAATTTATTTATACTATTAAACAAAATGTTTTTAAATGTACCTTTCCTCCTCTGAAACACTGAAATAAATATAGTTTGTAGAACTTTTTATTCATCATTTAATGATAGCTCACTTTTGAAAAAAATCATTTCAGGGTTGGGTAGTCTATCTTGGACAGATGATGGCCAGTTGTTGGCAGTATCTACTCAAAGAGGCTCACTCCATGTTTTCCTGACCAAACTTCCTGTTCTTGGGGACAACTGCAGCACACGGATTGCGTATCTCACCTCGCTCCTTGAAGTAACAGTAGCCAACCCTGTTGAAGGAGTATGACAAATATATTATTTTAATTTTATTTATAGACAAACTCAAAGTAATTAGAGTAGCTTATTTACAATGACTGCTTTTTTTATAGGAGCTACCCATCACAGTTTCTGTTGAAGTGGAGCCCAACTTCTTAGCTATAGGTCTTTATCATCTGGCTGTGGGAATGAACAATCGAGCTTGGTTCTATGCACTTAGAGAGGATAGTAAGTCTAAATCTGGTTTTGTTATTTTAACTCATATCTATCACCTCTAATAAATGTATTGGTATTGCCTAATAAAGCATTGTATACTGAGTGTTGACTCAAAGATGAGAAAGATTTGAGCTTTGTGGGCAGCTTATCAATAAGTATATGAGGCACCCTAGAGGAAAGTTCCTTTTCTCTTTTTTAGCTTCATGACAATACATATAAATTGTGTATTTCTTTTCCTTAGCTTGAAAGGTTTTGAACACCATAAACCTAATTTTCATAATTCCTGAGACAATTTTCTTTTTTGCTTCAGTGCTCTTTTGACTTTTTTTCTTCAAATATTGGGAATTGATAGAAAAAAATTACATTCTATTCATTCACACACTTCCTCACAGGAGATTATATGTTATCAGTCAGTCATAGAGCATGATAGAGTATGATTCTATTCAAGTAGAAAATGGCATTAAGTTTTCACTAAGCTGTTCCTAGTGTTTACATATGAGAATTTATTTTGTTGTTTCTATCTTATGTGAACTCCCATGGATGTCATTACTGCAAATTCACATAGTGACTAAAATTTCCTGAAAAAACTGGAAGAAAATTTCAAGGTTTAGAAGAGTTTTGAAATGTTTATAATTAGTTTTGATTTAAATTTTAATTCATTAATTAATTAGTTTGAATTTTTTTCAAAACTTAAATGAAATACATTACCTTTGTTTTAATGTTTTCTTATTTTCTACAGTTGTGAAAAAATTAAAAGATGTTGAGTATCTGGGAACAGTAGCTAGTATGTGCCTTCATTCTGACTATGCTGCTGTACTTTTTGAGGGCAAAATACAGTTACACATGGTGAGTCTTATTTTGCAAATCCGAAGGCCTATAGAGTTGAGATAAGCAGAAGCAGTAGACTAAGGCATAATAGTAAAGAATACTTTTAGAGCTAGAAGGGGCCTTAAAGGTCCAAACTTCTAATCTTATATGAGAGGAAACTGAGGCCCTAACAAGTGACATGTCTTGCCCAAGGAGACACAATAAAGTCCTATGGCTCCTTTTCCCTGTGATTTTAAAATACAAGAGGCAGCACAACCTAAGGGGAAGAAGGCTGGCCCTAAAGCCAGCAAGACATAAATTCAGATCTGGCCTCTGACATACACCAGCTGTTTGACCTCTAGTTAAGTGACTGAACTGCTCAGCGCATGAGGTAATGCTGGAAGACTATGAGCTACCCCACCTTGGTTAAGGGGGGTGGTCTGTGCCCTATCATGAAAAGTACAAACTCCTCTCTTTTTGACATTTAAAGGACTTCAGCATGATTATACATTACTACCAGTCACACTCTGGTCCAGCCAAACCGGCTTTCCTGCTGCAACTCACATGTGTCACTCGGTCTCCTATCTCTATGCCTTTGTCTCCAAGCCTGGAAGTCATTCCTTCCTCACCTCTACCTGTTAGAATTCCTTGTTTCCTTCAAAGCTTAGCTCAGGTATCACCTACATGAGACTTTTCCTTCTCTTTACACCACCCCTTTGACCTCTGCCCAGGCTCCTAGTGCTTCTTACCAAAAATTATTCCATATTTTGTATATATCTGCATATGTGCATGTATGTATACATATGTGTACATATATATGTGCATGCATATGCACACACAGACACACACACACACACAGTGAAGACGTCCCAGAAGTCTTTGTATAGTTTTAAACTATTATGTGAGTATATGTGTATGTGTGTGTACATATATATGTAGGGCAGCTAGGTGGTGCAGTGGATAGAGTGCTGGGCCTGGAGTCAGGCTGACTGATCTTCCTGAGTTCAAATCTGGCCTCAGACATTTACCAGCTGCATGACCCAGAGCAAGTCACTTAATGCTGTTTGCCTCATTTCCTCATCTGTAAAATGAGCTAGAGAAGGAAATGGCAAACCCCTCCAGTGTCTTTGCCAAGAAAACCCCAAATGGGGTGATGCAGAGTCAGACACATCTGAAATGACTGAACAGCAATGATGTGTGGATTGTCTTCCCCAATAAATTGTAAACTTTTTGAATGCAGGGATCTTTTTATTTTAGTCTTTTATCCCTAGTATCTAACATAGTATTTGACTCATAATGGAAACTTAATCAATTCTTGCTGACTGATCATTTGATTACTGATTGATTGATCTGGGCCAGATGACTTAAACTTATAAAGGGTGGCCAGATCCTCCCTTACTGTCAATATACTTATTTTGGATCTTAGCTTCCTCTTAACCATTTTTGTTGTGTCCTTTTCCAGTCCTGTGGTTCTCCCTTTTTGCAAAGGAAATAGAGGCAGTGTAAGAAATGAGCATATCTGCCTTCTCTCAAGTCTTCAGTTACCTTCTTCCCACCAATCAAAAACAGTGGTTCTCTCCCTTCTTTGTTCTTCCTGTTCTCCACAGCATGGCTTTAAAAAAAAAATTGCATTACCTAATTAGTTTCCTAATTCTCAGCTGCAGTGCTTCTGATCTGTTCTTACAAGACTATGCCATGCTTTTGTATTCATCCACTACTACTTATCTGTGATTCCATCTTCTGTACATGTCTTTTTGGAATCTAAATTAGTAGCAGTTTCCTTGTTTACCCATATCAGTCTCTTCAGACAATTTAGTTAGACCAGGGAGCTATTAGCTAAGTGATTCAGTTGAGACAGAAGAAAAAAATTGAAATGCTTAACCCACCAACTGATAACATCATAAACAACTATTATCAACATTTTAGATAGAAAGTGAAATTTTGGATGCTGAAGAACGTGAGACTCGACTTTTTCCAGAGGTAGATGACAAATGCCGAATTTTATGCCATGCTTTAACTGGAGATTTCCTGATTTATGGTACAGATGTATGTATTTTTTATTTCTTTTTACTTCTTTTGGTTATAATATGTAGAAAATTTCTAATTCTAGTTAATTGAAGTATTGTATTATCTCTTGATCATATGGTAGCTTATGCTTCCCTGCCTATGTTTGACATTGAACTTATGAACTTACATACATGGAGATAATGTTCTTAATATGTTTCAACATTTGTGCTAGTTTTTTGTAGTTTCCTTATGGCATGAAAACATAATCTTTGCATATTTAAAATTGATATAGACTTTACTAAACAGCTAAAAATGAAAACAAATTGAAAATGAATAAAATGTAAAAGATCACTTTGTACTTAGAGCATGTTCTCTTGATCTTAATAATTTAAGAAGGTTTATAGTAATCAAATTTTCTTTGACATTTGGTGTTTCAGGACATCAAATTAAATGTAATTAAAACAATAAAAACAGAGGGGCAGCTGGGTGGCGGAGTGGATAGAGCACCAGCCCTGAAGTCAGGAGTACCTGAGTTCAAATCTGGCCTCAGACCAAACACTTGACACTTACTAGCTGTGTGACCCTGGGCAAGTCACTTAATCTCAATTGCCTAAAAAAAAAAACAATAAAAACTAAATTTAAAACTAAAAAAAAAAACCTAAAATTAAAAATTCAAACAAATCCATTGGTTTTTAATTCTTGGAAAAGACTAGAAAATATCATATTCAAAAAGATGAGGAGGAAAATGTTAAAATGCCATAAATACAAGAGAAGTTAAGTTCATTATTAAGTCATAAGAATTCCTTTCTATAGAAAAATGGCAGAAAAAATGTTTTCAACATTTTCCCCTTACAAGATTTCCTTCCCAATTGATATCTTTCCTTTATTTCAATTATTTACTGCATATTGAGAATGTTTTTGTATTGGCCGTTTTTTGTATCAGTCTATGAAGAACAATATGAGCCACACAGTCATATTACCTTATTTATCTAAAGTACTTTTAACTTTGCTCAAAGCATTTTCACATTTTTATCTCTATTTGATTCTCAGAAGAATTCTAAGTAGAGAAAGTTATAATCCTTATAAGAAAATAGGTTGTTTGCTATTTAACTGCATAATTATCGACAATCCCCATCAGCAATTCCTCCCCTACTTGTATACAGTGTCACATAAATTGATGGTGCCATGCTGAACTTTCAAAACAAAGGTAGCAACTGTGGTTTGCTAATGAATCATTATTTATGATAACCTCATAGTTGACTAACTCTTGTAATCCCAAAAATTTTTCTGCTTGTTTTCATATTTTAAAATCTTGCTAAATGTACTTACCAATTAGGATCTAAGATATATGCCTAAGATCATTGATATAGAAATAAATGTCAGATGATTAAAGTTTCCACTAAATGGAGGATTTAAAATGTGATAATGCCAAAAATATAATTAAAAATATCAGAATTTGCAAAGTATTGAATCAGAAATACATTCACAGTTAACATAGGATTTTGATCTACCTTTTAAAATATTTACCATAAGTGGCTAACTTCAATTTTGAGTCAAATACTTCTTTTAAAATGTGAAATATTTGCTTCAAAAAATAAAGTGTCTCATAACATTTTCATGACTATAATTGTTTTAGACTGGCGTTATTAGGTATTTCTTTATTGAAGACTGGCAATATGTGAATGAATATCGACATCCTGTCAGTGTGAAAAAAATTTTTCCTGATCCTAATGGGACAAAATTGGTTTTCATTGATGAAAAAAGTGAAGGATTTGTCTACTGTCCTGTAAGTTCAGAAAATAATTTCAATTATGTTTTTCTTTAAGTTCTTAAAATTTAATAAAGAAAAAATGAATGTATAAATTAAATTTCTTTTAAAATAATGCAAAAGCTTTAGGATTTTAAAACACTGTTATGTTTGTAGTTGAGCTATAATAATGGTACCACATTTTGTGGCATTTTTATATTTCAAAAAACATGGTTTGTAATTTTTCATAGGTTTTTTGCTCTTTAAAAATTTGTTGGGGATCAGCTAGGTGGCACAGTGGATAGAGCACCAGCCTTGGCATCAGGAGGACCTGAGTTCAAATGTGGTCTCAGACACTTGACACTTACTAGCTATGTGACTCTGGGCAAGTCATTTAACCCCAATTGCCTCTTCTCTCCCCAAAAAAAATCATTAATGAAAAATAAGCACTTATTATCTGTACCAGACTTTTTAGCTTCCATTAGTAGTTATTTTTCCTTTGTTTATGTCATATGTCATATTTAACTCATAGTTGAGCCCCCCTCATTACCTTATTGCTTATGATCCTTGAACATAGCCGGCATTAAATATTTGTCAATTACTGTTTTTTACTGAATAGTTTAAAATTGGTCAGATTTTAAAATCCTGTATTATTTGAAAGATTTTTAAATGCCTTTAAACATTTCATTTTACTTTTGCCTTCTGTATAAGGAAAGATTCTGTCTTCTGCCATGGATCATAGCCTTGGCTCAGCTTCACCTAGCATAACCCAAGACTCTCCAATCAGCTGATCATGATATCCACATAGAATTCAAACCTAGTTAATTAGGGGATGTCTAATTCAGTTGCTATTGATATGGCCCCTTGTCTGTATGTGTCAGAGACTCTCAACAGAAAGTGTGCATGACAGAAAGCAATTCCAAAAAAAGAAAAAAAGATTTAAAAATTTCAGTTTAAAAAGAAACTTAAAATGGGTGAATTACACTTACCAGCATAAGTTTTGCCACCAGATAATGAATTTGTTCAGCTATAGTTAATTCCTATCTCTTATGGAAGGATTGTAATATGCTTGAGTTGTTGACATGTCCACACTGATAAAAATTACAGGTCTTTGAAGTTTTTAAGGTAAATGTGATTACAGTATATAATACACATGATTTTTCATTAATTTTGGGTGTTCAGGTACTTAAATATATTGTTCTGGCTCCTGGTTCCTGCTAAGGATGGGACACAAATCAACCTCTCCATACTTTCTCTTAGCTAGGCAAAGCTACTTGGGGATCCAGTCCTGAGAAACTTGCCTCAGGCTTTATTATGCTTCACAGGAAAAAGAGCTCCTAGTAGTCAGCTGATCTTTGCCATGACACTCCACGTTAAGGCATGATGTATGAGAAGAAAAAAAAGACTTTATAAGATTTAAATTGAAGCCTTGCTTGGGCTACTTCATGCAAAGTGATCCCAATCCCCATCCTGTCCCTGAGGCTGTCCTCTTCTTTGGTTATTCTTCAGGAATTGAGTGCTTTCATGCCACGCATTTGCTATCCAAAGGTACCTCACTCAGGCCTTCCTTTTCATCAGGTCTCCCAAATTGCCCCACATACATCTCATAGTGAAAAAGTACTGAACTTGGAATGCATTTGGATTCTAATCAGAACTAAAACAAAGTATCTGTGCCCTTGAAGCCTGGTTTGAAAATTGTCCTTTCCTGTGGTGGCAAATTATATCCCATGTATTAATGTGCATCAGATGCTCCACTGTAACATGGGATTAAATTTATCACAAAATAAATACCTATATGCCATAGAGAGCAGAATTTCCTGACATTACAAACACGGACATTTATAAAAAGATTTCCTTGTGCTCCTCCACACTGTACATGGGGCAGCCACCTCTCTTGCCTATCCTCTGTCCTTTCTCTGTCATTTACTCTCTATGGGACTTGGGCAAGTCATTTAGCACCTCTGAGCCTCGGTACCTATTTCACTCCCCACAAAAGCTACTCCAGACCTGTCACAATCATTCTCCTTTCACCTGAGGACCTTGCCTCTTACTCTCCTAAGAAAAGTGAAACCATTCAGTGTGAGCTCATTATTCTCCCATTCTGTTCCTCTCAAAGCCCTTGACATCACTTTTCACTCTATTCCACCTGGCTTCTCTTTGCCAAGGCCAGCTCCTCTACACATGTACTTGATTCCATCCATTTCTTTCTTCTTTAGCAAGATTGCATCCTCAGCCATTCTCTCTCTCTTCCCTCTGTCTCTCTCTGTCTCTCTCTGTCTTTTTCTCTGTGTTTCTCTTCTTCAACTCCTTCTTACCCACTTGTTCCTTCCCTATTGCCTTAATTTTGCCCAAGTATCCCCATCCTAAAAAAAAAAAACCTTCACTAGGCCCTACCATCCCCTGAAGTTAGTATATAAGTTAGCAGAGCTGTCTTTTCTCAGCCTTGAAAAAGCTGTCAATACTCTCTACCTCCACCTCTCCTCTCCTCAACCCTTTTTCAGTCTGGCTTCTGACTCCATCACTTAGCAGAAACTGCTGTCTCCAAACTATTCTCTCTCTCCCTCTTTTTTTTTTTGGCTAGGCAATGGGGTTAAGTGACTTGCCTAGGGTCATACAGCTAGTAAGTGTTATGTGTCTCAGCCTAATTTGAACTCAGGTCCTCCTGAATCCTGGTCTGGTGCTCTATCCACTGCGCCACCTACCTGCCCCCAAACTATTCTCTTCATTGCCATATTCGATGGTCTTTTCTCAGTCCTCATCCTTCTCAACCTATTTGCTGCTCTTGACACTTAGTGACCGCTCTTTCTTCCTGGATGCTCTCTTCTCTGGGTTTTTGTGGCACTAATGCCTCCTTATTCTTCTCCTTGACTTACCACACCTTAATCTCATTAGCAGACTCATCATTCATATCATACCCCATAAATGTAGGTTTTGCCCTAAGCTGTCTTCTTTTGCTACCTGCCCATTCTCAGTAAACTTAGCAACTCTCATGGGTTAAATTATCCTTTTCATGCAGATGACTCATAGATCTATCTATCCAACCCCAGTCTCTTTCCTGAAATTTAATCCTACATCACCAATTGCCTGTTAGACATTACAGACTGATGTCTGGGAGACATCTTAAATTCAACATGTCCAAAACTGGAACTCACTCTCTTTTCCCCAAAACCCTCCCCTCTTCCAAACTTACCTATTTTTGTCAGAGGCATCACCATCTCAACTTTCTACCAAGTTCATAACCTCAGCATTATCCTGGCCTTCTCAGCCTCCCTCACTCCACATATCCAAGCAATTGATAAATCTTGATATTTTTACTTCTGCAGGCTGTCTTGTATTTGACCCCTTGCCTCCACTGACATAACTGTCACCTTAATTCAGTCCCTCATCACCCCTCTCATTGAGATTATCGGAGTAGCCTCCCCGATGGCCTCCCTTACTTATGTTTCTCACCATTCCAGTCTATCCTACACATTGATGACTGAGTAATCAGCAAACTGCAGTGGCTTCCTGTTGGGAGCTTGGGAAGACCCAGAAGTTACTCTGAACCCTCTTTATCTGTATAATTCAAGCGTTGAGAGAAGAAAGAAGGGTTTTGTGACTCCGAGCCCCCTCTGTCAAGAAGAGTCAACTACTGCTATGTTTCCTTCTTCCCCTACTCACCTCCTGGGTGGAGGCTTAGGTCCAGGCAGCCTTTGTTCTGATCTTCATTCCCGAGAAAAAAAGAACAATTCCCACCACACAGAAAAGCATCATAGGATCATGATTTAGAGCTGGAAGAGACCTTAGAAGTCACCAAGTCCAAACTCCTCATTTTACAGATGAGGACATTAAACCCAAGAGGGCCATACAGATAATAAGTTGCAGTAATCTAGGATTTGAACTCAGGTCCTCTGACTCCAAATTCATTGCTTTTTCCACCATACCACACAGCCTCCTCAAGGCTACTTCCCTACCTTGATCCAGTTCACCTCAGACCTATCCTGGCTCCTAAAATGTTATTGGAAAGCAGCCCAGCCAGAGGAGTGTGAGTGTCGAACTGCCTAGATTGCAGATCCAGATGACTTCATAAGGGTAACAGACAGTTTCATTTTCCCTTTCCTTTCCTAGCTGACCCCAGAAATCTCAAGGCAGAATAATAAAATGTAAGAGCTGGAAGGGTCCTAAGAAGTTATGTTGACAAATGTCCTCTTTTCACAGATAAGGAAAACAGATTCTAAAAAGTGAAGTGAGTTGTCCACGGTCAAACAGGGAGGTAATGGTAGAATCTGGATCAATACCCAGGTCTTCTGACTCTCAGTCCAGTACTTTATGCTCTATACTGACCTACTTTCTCAACTGATTGAACTACATAAAAGTAGTTACAGTTATCATCACTTATGCTAGCCATTTATGCTTAATTGCCATTTAGTATATATAACCATTATACATATCATAAAATATGTCACATTAAGTTTCTCATGAATTTTATTTTATTACATTAAACTATTCATGTATGCTCAGTCCACAGTTTGTTGTCATGTAGCTACTTAAAGGAAACAGTTTCTCTTGCATGCATATGAGGATATATAACTCTTCAGGCCACTACTACATGCAGTCATTCTATTTATTTTCCTCTATTCTTTCCAATTCAATCTGCTTCTTCCCATTGTGCAAGTAGGAAGCAGGTCTAATGATGGGTTTCTCTACTGCCTTAGATGAAGAAGAATTCATTTCCCCTCTGCACTGTTGGGAATATCAGTTGACAGGGCAGCCATTCCATTGGTTTATTAATTCTTCTGCCAGCAAAGTAACCCCCAGTGGGCCTCTTCAAGTTCTGTTATGTTTAAAAGCACACCAGGGAATGAGATGAAAGAAGAAGTTGTCTCTGCACACACACACTCGGGATGGTCAAAAGTCCTTTTTTCTTCTGAATCCTAAGGGATAATATTTTGCTTTTTAAATCTCATGTCCGTATAAATTTATATTATACATTTACTAGAATGTATTATCAAACAGTTTTTGAAGCAAACATGCTGATGACATTTATTTAAATCAAATTAATTCACATAATTCATTTTTATTTGTTTTCTAAGGAGAGTATTTACATTTTGAACATTTTTAAGCTACAAAATTATCATTCCTGGCCTAGAGTTATTATCTTTAGTATGAAGCTTCATTTGTGTACATCTTATAGTACTTTCCCCCTAGTTCTCTAGAATTACTGGTTTTATCTAAATACTTTCATCTATTACATGCCAACACAGAGGTATCAAATAAGCATGTGAAAAGAAATTTTTCCTCTGTTTCCCTGGTGTTTTAAGTTGAATGTAGGTTTAGGGGAACAGTATTGGGATGGAGTTGTAAAAACCCTTCTTCCAAGCTTAATGATAATGATTTAAGTATGTGAACTAATTTAATAAAGCTTTTTTTGTAGGTTAATGATATCACCTATGAAATTCCAAATTTCTCGCCAACTATTAAAGGTGTTCTTTGGGAAAACTGGCCATTGGATAAAGGTGTATTTATTGCCTATGATGATGACAAGGTGTATACATTTGTCTTTCATAAGGATACTATACAAGGTACTTAATTTTTTTTTGTGCTTTTGATTAATAGGATTTCTTTTGGCAGCTAAATTAAACCAAAATATTTTCTTTCTATTATTTATGCTGGCATCTGCTGTCAGCTTTGTCAGATGTGTTCTAAAAATGTTACAAATAAGAAAAACAATTTATTTAAACAATGTTTGTAATAATCCAGGTTCCAGGGTAATTTTGGCAGGTGGTACCAAAGTTCCATTTTCTCAGAAACCATTGCTGTTATATAATGGAGAATTAACGTGCCAGACACAGAGCGGAAAAACCAACAATATCTACCTTAACACCCATAACTTCCTTGGCAGTTTAAAAGATCCTGAGCCCAATGAGCTGAAACAAATGCTGACACAGGCTTTAATGCTAAAAAGGTAGGATTTTAAATAAATAAATGTATGTGCACACAAAATTTTAGGACTTTTATTTGCTTTTGCAATAATGTAGGTCAAATCCCTTTCTAGTTGTTATAATTTCCAGGCTAATAATTTAAAATTTTTAATATGACTGAAAATAAATATCTATGCTTAATCCAATGACCAGCTTATGGTATAAATTGTATTTGATATGGTAAAATTGTAACCCAACAAAAATTTTAGACAATCCTTCAATTTTACTGTAAAGAAATTTGGCCAATATCATTAATTTTTTTATAATTATACATTGATATATTGGGATTCCTAAATATTGGGCAGCTAGGTGGCAATGAGGCTAGGGTGCCAGGCCTGGCATTAGGAAGACTCATCTTCCTGAGTTCAAATTTGACTTCAGACACTTACTGGCTATGTGACCCTGGGCAAGTCACTTAACTTTGTTTGCTTCAATTTCCTTGTCTTTAAAATGAACTAGATAGGGGCAGCTAGGTGGCACAGTGAATAGAGCTCTGGCCCTGGGGTCAGGAGAACCTGAGTTCAAATGTGGCCTCAGACACTTGACACTTACTAGCTGTGTGACCTTGGACAAGTCACTTACCCCCACTTGCCTAGCCCAAAAAAAAAAATGAACTGTAAAAGGAAATGGCAAACGACTCCAGTATTTTTGCTAAGAAAACCCCAAATGGGGTCACAAAATGTCCGACATAACTGAAACAAGTGAACAAAAATTCCTAAGTGTATTTATCTAATTAGGTGTCAAATTAATATAATTAATTAGGCATTGTGCTCATTTTCTCAGAATGGTATAAGAATGTCCATTCTTATCTGTCTGAAGTATTATTAAAAGTGGAAAATAGAATTAATTAGGAGAATTTGAATATAATTTTTTATTTGATTACCTCATAAAGCACTAGATCTTTCTCAGGGGGAAAAAATAAGATCATAAGGAAGGATCTGAAGAAGATACAAAGAAATATTATTTTAAAAAAAAAATTAAAAAAAAAAAGAAAATGGTTTATGTTGCCAGAGCAAGCTCCAAAAAAATAGCACAGATTAAAAGGAGCTTGAAAAACATAGGTGCTATACTTTAGAAGGCATTTTTTGTCATATTTGGCAGGGGTTCTTAACCTTTTTTTGTCATGTGTCCCTTTAATACTCAAGTGGAGCTTATGGACTCCTAAAAATGTTTGTTGACTACATTCATAATTTAAGGAAATGCTAAATTTCAGTTAGAGGTTAGTAAAAATGAAGATGTAATTTTTTTCCCCCATTCAAGTATTGATCTCTTGAAATCTGTCCATAAACCACTTGAGTGTCCTTGGACCCTAGGTTAAGAACCTCTGATCTGTGGCATAATTTTAAGTCAGTTTGACTTTTTATTGTAGGTTTTCTGATGCATGGGAATTGTGCAAAATCCTCAATGATCAAGATACTTGGAATGAACTTGCCAGAGCCTGCCTACATCACATGGAAGTGGAGTTTGCAATCCGAGTTTATCGTACAATTGGAAATGTTGGAATGGTGATGTCTCTAGAACAAGTAAAGGTAAAATATATTTTTATGAAGAAAGGATAGTGCAAGATTTCAGTTAAATTGCTAAATAATTTAAACACTTATCTTAACATTTTAGCTATTTCTTTTTTCTATTACTGTATATTTGAATGGGGAAAAAATAACATTCTCTCTCTGTTCCTTCAAAAGATATGTGTTTTTATTCAGTTTCTCAATTTTGGTCACATTACTGTACCATTTCATATTTGGATTATTTAATTTGCCCAGATTAATTTTTTAAATGCTTAAGCTCTTTAATAAAAAAAATCCAGAAATCTGTTTAATTATTGCCAAGTTTGGCTGTATATTTGGGTATGGTCTTTTCCTTTCCTAACAATGTTTGATTTTCTGAACTGATTCCCCAATTCAAACAAGATGGATTTTAACAGTAATAGAATATGTAACATTGAATATGTTCACATGAAAAAGACTGGGTAACCCCACCTGACTACAAACTCAATATGATTCAAGCATATGATATGACTATAGAAAATGTTAATTTAATCATACTTCAGTAGTGTTATTTTTTAAATAAAAATTCAATTAAAAAAACAATGCAGTCATAACCACATTAATGGAAATATTACGTCAAGCACAAGGAAACCTTATAATCCTCTTTACTCTGCATTGGTTAGACTATACCTGGAGTGTATTGTACTCAATCTTAAGTACCATATTTTAAACTATACAGAAACTAGAGTGTGTCCTGAGAACAACCAGGTACTAAGAATGTTTAAAGTGGGGAAGAAAAGATATAGAGAAGTGAAAGCTAACTACAAATACTTGAATTTCTTATGGAAGGATTATTAGTTGGCTGGGTAACTCTAGGGAGCAGAACTGGGAATAATGAGTGCTAATTACAAGGAGGGAAATTTTAGCTCAATGAAAGAATGCATTGCTAAACAAATAGAACCGTCCAAAAAAGAAGTGGTTGCATCATGAAGTAGTAAATTCTCCATCATTGTAATGTTTTCAAAAGCCAAGACTTTCTTTAGGGATGGTACATAAAGTATTCTTGCCAAGTAAACATACTCAATGACCTTTAAGGACTCTTATAGATCCATAAGTCCTTATGGATCAATGAAATTGATAACGAAAGATAAATTCTTTAAAGAGTCAGTAATAGTGAGGGGGCAACATGGGAACTTGCCAGGATAGTGTAATGACTCATCAAATCAGTCAGATACCCCCTAAGAGTACTTTCCCTCTCCTTCCCACAGGCTGTCTGATAAGAAACTCATTCAGTTTCATTAGGGATTTTGGCTATAGAAGGGTTTAGTCTAAGGTAAATTGATTCTAATTACCTGAGTATAACTCTAGGATAATAATGCAATAATGGTTTGACCTTCACAGCATTGTGTTAGTGCCAACAAATAATATAGCACCAGAGATTGTGATCATATTTTCCCAAAATATCAAGACAGTTTCGATCTTAAAGTTAAATTAGCAGCAAATGAAGATGAGAGTTTAACACACCAAGTCTGTCATGCTCTGATTCATTCATTCTTCATATCAAAATATTTTCAAGGAAATGTGAATCTCATCCCTTTGCCCAAGGCTTCCCTAATTTCTATGCATATGAATTCCTAGAATCACCACATCCATCTCAGCATAGTCTCTTGGTAAATTAAATCCATGTAACATTTGTAATTTGAAAATACTTCTGTTTTCAGGGAATAGAAGACCATAACCTTTTAGCAGGACATCTTGCCATGTTTACAAGTGATTTCAGTCTGGCTCAGGATCTTTATTTGTCATCTATCTATCCCTCTGCTGCCCTGGAGGTACCATTTAACTGCCTAAATTCTTGTATTAACTGTGGTTTTATTTGTTTAAAATATTTTATGTTTTTAAAACCTTAGGGCAAAATCAACACTTAGCTAATACTTTGATATTCCTTTAATGAATCTGATGTCATCTCTGTGGCCATACACTCCACCAATACAAATGTACCCCCTCCATGGCTTTGCATCCTATGCAACTCTTGTTCATTTTCCCTCATAAATCCTACACATTAACATATCTAACATATCTATGTGGAAAAGAGGCTTAAAAGATGTAAAATAATATTGACCATATATTTGGTACTTCAATACCCAATTTATTTGAAGCTTCATTTCCCTCCCACCCTTCCTAAGTGGTCTATATATACATGGATATAAAATATGATTTATGAATATATATGCACATGTGTATATGATGGTGATTCCTTTCACTGACATAGAGTGCTACTGCTATACACTTTATCTTTCTTGAAATTAATTTTATTTTGAAAAAATTTACATATATTAACACATGTATATTATGTATACTTTTTTTTAAAATTAGTGTGAGCTTAAAGATAATGTGTTAAAATGTGGCATTTTGTACCCATACCAATGAGATCATTAATCCACTGAAATCTAAAATTAATTTGAGGTCAAATTTATTTTCTTCAGGGAATTCTTTGATATTTTATACAGCATCCTTTGACATGATTGAAGATGTCCTCAGAACTTCAAAATTAAAACTAGTACTCACTGATGTAGGAATATGTCTGCTTTTGTAACTTTTTCTGGAGCACACATGAGTGATGAGAAAGAAGTAATCCTCTTTCTTCCCTACCCAAATGTGTACAATAATAGCATTCTCCTGGATCCAAAAAAAGAATTCATTTATAGTGTGAAAAGACTTGAGTTGGACCTTAGAAGTCCAACCCCTTCATTTTACAGTTGAGGAAACTTTCTCATAGTCATATTGTTATATCCCCTGACTCCAAATCAAATATTCTTGCTACTTCCCCATGCTCCCTGTCAGAACTCTGAAAAATGATTTAGAATGAGAGTGTTCCTTTAATCTTGAATAAGATGCAGGACCTAAAATCATTTTCATATGTGGTCATTTATGCTTTTGGATTTGTAACGAAGTAGAGGACACAGTAGGTACTATTTTATTAAATAGCATTTGTGGTGATCTGACTTTTGCATATGAATTTTCTCTATGTCAAATTTAAGGCATTTGTTTTCATCACAGATGAGACGAGATTTGCAGCATTGGGACAGTGCACTACAGCTTGCTAAACGTCTGGCCCCAGAACAAATCCCATTCATATCAAAGGAGTATGCTATTCAGCTTGAGTTCATGTATGTTATCTGCTTTATATGTCCATTTGAAAATTACTAATAACAGTATAAAGTATTCTTTTCTAGAGAATAGTTATTTTTAAATGTTCCTAAATAATTTATTGCCAGATATGTGCATTCAGTAAAAGTATTGACACAAATGATAGTTTAAGTTGTGTTCCATTTAAAACAGCCCTGGATTTAAAATTACCATATGTGATCCCAAAGTGAATAAGCCAAGCAAAATCTTGTCCTTTACCTTTATCTCACAAGAAGAGGTGACCTTTCTCCTTGCCAAGGCAAACCACTGAATATGCTCCCCTTATTCTCATCCCTCTGTATTCTCCAGAATATTGCCCCTTCTAGCCTTCCTGCTCTCACTCATCTTTAACTTTCCCTGTCTACTGCATCCTTCCTGCTGCCTTACAATATTCCCATGTCTCCTCCATCCTTAAAAAACCCTCACTTAATATGACCATCTCTATCAGCTATCATCCCATGTCTTTCCTTCCTTTCTCAGCTAAACTTCTTGAGAAGGCCATCTATAGTCCCTGCCTCTACTTGTCTTCTTACTCCTAGGCCTTATATCTTTACTTCTCCTTCCCTCTCTATAGTTTCTCACTTGATGATCTCAGCAGCTGCCATGAGTTCAATTATTATCTCTATACAGATGATTCCTATTGCCCTAATCTCCACCTGAGCTCCAGTCTTACGTCACTCACTGCCAGTAGACACTTTACTAATCAATGAGTATACAAAAAAGTAAAAAAAAAAAAACCACATCATACCCTCAAAGATCTCCCAGTATCAAAAAAAGTGTATATGCATGATATCTACATTGTAAATGTAAGGTAGTATCAGAAGGAAGAAACAAGTAGGTGAGGTGGCAGGGCAGTATGGGAAAGGTCTCTTGCAGAAGGTAGGATTTGACCTGAATCTTGAAGGGACAGTAAAGCCCGCAGGCACAGGTGAGGGGAAAGAGCGTTTTAGGCATGAGGGACAGAAGGTGAAAAGGCAGTCAGGAGATGGCATGATATGTGTGAGGAACAACAAGAAAGCCACTGTGGCTAGATTGTAGCGGACATGGAGGGGAAGAGTGGAAAGGTGAGAAAGAAGGGGCCCGGGTGTGAAGGTTTGAAGTGCCAGAAAGATCATCTGTTTGATCCTAGAAGTAACAGGGAGACATAGAAGTGTGATGAGTGGTGGAGATTACATGTTAGACTTGCACTTTATGAAAATCACTTTGGCAGCTGAACGGGGGTTGAATTGGAATGAGGGGAGGAAGAGGCAGGTAGACCCACCAGCAAGTTTGTTAATTATGGAACAGAAGCACAATGAAGAGCACAGTGGAAGGGGCAGGTAGACCTAGACTGAGATATTGGAGGATGTCCAAGAAAAACCATAATACTGTACTCTTCATTTTAGGCACAAGTCCGACAGAAGCCATTTTTATTAACTTAGCATTAGTCTAATATCTAAGCATTCTTGCTAGGATGAATAAATGCCCAAATTGGCATACTCTCCCTTTCCATGCCTTCAGACATGCACCTATTCCAAGACAGTTTGAAGTAATGTTGGTAGGAATCTTGAACGAGGAAAACATCAACAAAATCTTCCTTTTTCCCTCATACCCTAACCCCCCCCAACACCTACCCACCAAGCAGAGAACAAAAGAAAAACAAAACCCGTTCCAAATATATATAGCCAAGCAAAATAATTTTCACACATTGGCAATGTCCAAAAAAAAAAAATCTGTTTCATTTGTCACCTTAAGTCTATCATTTTTCTGTCAAGAGGCAGCAGTACATGTCATCATCACTCTTCAGGAATCATGGTTGGTCATTACGTTGGCTAGAGTTTTTAAGTCTTTCAAAGTTGTTTTTGTTTGCAATGTGGTTGTTATTATAGAAATTGTTCTTGTTCTACTCACTCCACTCTGCATCAGTCCATACAGTCTTTCTGGGGTTTCTCTGAAACCGTCCCTTTTGTCACTTATTACAGCGTAATAGTATTCCATCATGTTTATGTACCAAGACTTGTTCAACCATTTCCCAGTTTATGAGCATCCCCTCAGATTCCCATTCTTTGCCACTTCAAAAAGAGCTATAAATGTTTTTATACTTTCTTAAGAGTTTGTTTTGCTTAGAACTAATCCCTCCCTTAATCCTCCCTCCCCTGTCTTCTCCCCTTTCCCTCCTATTTCCCTGTATTTCTGTTTTATGATCTGTGTATTCTTCCCTACTTTGACCCGTTCAAATAAAGGTGAGGTTCAGGTGTCAGCCGCTTCCCTTACTCCTCCTCCTTTTTTGTGTAGATGTCTACTTGTGCACCCTGATTAGATAAGAGAATTTTCCCTACCCTCCACTCTAGCATATTCCTCTTCCCCTCTCTTTCTGTTCTTCTCTTGAGATCATCAAGACATCACAGAACCATTCGTAGCCTTCTGTCTAATTAGACTCTTTCTGTGGTGCTGAAGTTCTAAGTAGATACATGCATCATCTCCCCTTGAAGAATGTAAACAGTTTATCTTTGTTTAGTCCCTTATAATTGCTTGCTCATGTTGTGTGAACTTCAGACTTTGTATTCAAGTGCAGTCTTTTCATTAGGAATGCTTAGAAGTCCTCTATTTTAGTACATAATAGATTTGCAGTTTCATGTGCAATTATCTTTTTTTCTATTCTCCTATGTTATAGAAATGTTTATTTTATTACTTAAGTTCAGAAATACAGTAAATTAAATTTTAAAAAGAATTTTTAAAAAAGGAGTCAGCAAACTAAGGCCCATGGGCCAAGTCCAGCCTGCTGCCTTACCCCATGAGCTAAGAATGGTTTTTATATTTTAGTGTGCCGACCCCTGCCCTCTTTCATTAAAGTCAATTTTTCCCCTACTCAGTTTTGATCATTAGTTATTCTTGGCTGTAAGCTTATATCTTTTGCCTTCTGAAATATTCTGTTCCAAGCTGCAATCTATGGGTTTTGGCTGTCATGTTCCTGAGAGTTTTCATTTTGAAGTTTCTTTCAGGAGATGACCAGTAGATTCTTTCTATCTTAACTTTGTCCTCTGGTTCTAAGAGATCTGCACAGTTTTCTTTTAAGATTTCTTAACATGTGATGTCCAGATTCTTTTTTTAGTCATGGCATTGAGTTAGTCCAGTGATTCTTAATTTTTTTTTACTTGTTCTATTTTCTAAGTCAGTTGTTTTTGCTATGAAATACCATAAATTTTCTTCTGCTGCTTTTCTTTCTTTCAACTTTGAATGTTTCTTATTGTCTCATGGACTAATTGGCTTCTGTTTGGTCCATTCTAATTTTCAGTCAGTTTGTTGCTTGCAGAAGACTTTGTATCTCTTGTGCCAACCTGTTAATTCCCTTTCCAGTTCTTCCTTTCATAATTCTCACTAATATTCCAATTTTTTCTAGTGCTGTTATTTCATTTAGAAATTTTTTTAAACATTTGTTTCTTCTCTTCTAGAAATTCTAATTGAATTTATGCCCCAGCTATGTTTTCCTTTGAGGCATTGCTTATAGATGTTTTCGAATCATTATCCTCTTTTGGGGCTTTGTCTTGATTGTCTCTCTAATAGTAATAATAATAGCTTTTTATGGTAGGGTTCTTTTTGTTTGTTTACTCGCTCTTCTAGCCTACTTCCTAAATTTGGATTTTATATTAGGGCACCTCTGTGCACTACTAGGGAGAAAAATTTAGGCTGATCCTGTTGCTGGAATATTGGATGTTGTGCTATTTTAGAATCTCAGGGACAGCTCAGACTGGGGACCTGCAAGCTTTCCAGTGCTCCCAAAGGGGTCTGATAATAGCAAACGCTGATTGCTGTCCCCTTGTCTGAGCTCTGCAAGTTCTTGATCTGGGCTTGTGGCTAAGCACTGGTACACTACTGCTAGACTCAATCCCTGTCAGCTAGTTGGGGAGCTCTGCTGCTTCAAAGGGCCAGAACTTTAGGCTTTCCTTTGGTCTGGGATTCCTGCCTGGTTATTCCTCTGCAGGCTTCAGAGGAAGTCTGGCACTGAGACCCTGAGACCCTGCTATGCCCATGTGATCCTAGCCTCACCACTGGGCCTGCCCCTAATCTTCTCTTCAGGTATACCACTGCAACTGCTGCCTACCCAGAATGCACCCAGAAATGAGTAGTGAGCAACAAAATTGCCATCTGTTCCCAGCTTAGTGCCCCAGTGCAAGTGTGGGATCTCCTCTAGACCTGGTACTCAGCTTCTCCTTGTGTGGGAGTACTCCATGTGACTTCATTCCTAGTCAAACCTCTTACCCAGCCAGTGTCCACAGACCTCTCTGATTCTTTGTGCTCACTTGGGCTGGAAAAGCGACTCACTGCGATAATTTGATGAAATTCCCCATCAGGATTTGGTCTGGTGCATTTTCTAGATCTCTTGGGAGGAGTTTTGGGAGGAGCTTGCTGAACTTCCTTTTTCTACTCCACGATCTTGACTATGCCTCTGATTGATTCGATCTTGAATGAGTTTAAGCAGCTTGAGATCTGACCATGTAGTCTATTTATTTTGTATTCCCAACAATGATTTGTGTCTACTATAGCACAGGGCACAAAGGGAACACTTGCAACTAAACTGAATTGAAGGAAAGTGAATTAGTCTGCCTCAAATAGTCACTTTATTCTCAAGACAGAGAGTGTGTTCATCAACTTAACTTCATTCTACAAATAAGTATTAGTAGCAGTATCCAACCCAATATTACTGGCTTGTTTCCTAGAAATTATTCCTGAGCATCAGGGAACTCTGTCACACTAATTGACAAAGTTATAGACAGTTTTTGAACCTCATTGTTGGAAGGAGTTCCCACACAGACAAAATCAGAGTCTTGATGTGTTGATATGTATTCTGGGAGATATGGGAATAAAGAACTTAATATAAGATATTTGAACATAATATTGTTACTTTACTAAAATGTACTATGATTTTTCTTTTAGGGGTGATTATGTAAATGCTTTGGCTCATTATGAGAAAGGAATAACAGGTGATAATAAGGTAACCTTGAATAAAGACCAGAGAATTATAAATTCTTCTCTCCACTCATATGGCCGCCACCCTAACGTAGGCCCTCATCCCTTCTTGCCTGACCTATTGAAGCAGCTCCCTATTACATTCATGCTTTCCTCTCTGCTTTCCTCCCTGTCTTTGATCCATATACTCCACACAGCTGCCAAAGTGATCTTCCTGAAGCAAAGATCTGAACAGGTCCAGCCCCTTCTCCCTGATCACTCAAGAAAATTCTGTGACTCGATATTACCTCCAGCATAAAATACAAACCCCTTACCTTGGCATTTGAAGACCTTCATGATCTTGTCTCTGTGCCCTCACACAAGCTGTCTCCTGTGTCTATAGCGTGCTCCCTTCCACCTTCTGCCTCAGAATCCTTAATTTCCTTCAAGGCTCATTTCATATTCCGTCTCATATGGAAAGCTTTTCCTTGTTTCCTCCTTTTCACCAAATTATATATCTGTTTTTCATTCTGTCTTTGTATACCCAACACCCATCACAGTATATCACACATAATAAGTGTTTAGTAACTGATTGTTGGACTTACCATTTATAAGTGTCTATACAGAAGAAAGAAATCTCATTGATAGACAAATCATTGTTCTCTTATTAATACACTTTTTCATGATCTATGTGCTTTATGTCCAGAACTTTATATAAAATGTAGTACTGTATCAAGTACAAGACACTGACAAATCTAATTTTAAAATTTATAAAAATAAATTTTAAAAATCAGTTTTCTAAAGAACGAAAATAATTGGCACTATGACAAGTGGCAGATGTGAAACAAAACAATGAATAAATGTCTTTTTAACATCTTCTCAAAACATTGTTCAAAGTATTCAATTAACTATAGCAATATCATTGCCACAGCTTGGGACTGGGAAACAAGCAAGGAATATTCATCATTTTTTCTTTCATTAACCTTTTCTTAAGGGAGTGGTTTAAGTATTTGTTTTTCAATTCCAGCACCTAGAACATGATGAAGCCTGTCTAGCTGGAGTGGCTCAGATGTCTATTAGAATGGGAGATATTCGACGAGGGGTTAACCAAGCCATCAAGCATCCAAGTCGACTCCTAAAAAGGGATTGTGGTGCTATTCTGGAAAATATGAAGGTATTCTTTCATTTATATAAATATTCGCTTGAAGAAAATGAGTCAGTCCTATTCTTCATAAAGGTCAAAACATTAATACTCTCCTATTGCAGCAGTTCTCAGAAGCAGCCCAGCTGTATGAAAAGGGGCAGTACTATGACAAAGCAGCATCTGTTTACATTCGCTGTAAAAACTGGTAAGGATTTACCAATATAATATTTAGAAATATATTTTAACTCACCTCTACTCCATAATAATCACCTGTCTCTCTCTGCCTTTACCCATATAATTTTCAAGTTGTTCTTCCAACTTTGATGTTCTACCAACATCTCCATATACTTATAAAATCTAGTCTTCCAACTGTCCTCATACAGGAATTCTTTACTCATGCCCCTCTTCTCTTTACATTTTCTTTGCATTTTGTACTTAGATAAAGTTTGACTGAGTCTGAGTATCTTATGCTGAAAATTTGAGTCTTTGAAGGTAGTGGTTGGTATGGGTAAATCCTAAGTGAGATAAATTACTAAATATCGAGAAAAGATTAATAAACCCTATCTTCTCTTTCTACTCACAACTACTTACCACCAAGAAAAGGAAAAACCAGTTATTGACTCCACAGTATAATCAGCAGTTGAGATTTTGAAAAATCATGTTGATTTTTAGAAATACATCAAGAATTAGTAGTAATAAGTTAATTTTAACCTGAAAGAATGAATGATAAGTTTTTTATTGTGCCATTTTTCTAGGGCAAAGGTTGGTGAGCTTCTACCTAATGTTTCTTCTCCTAAGATCCATCTACAGTATGCCAAAGCTAAAGAAGCAGATGGAAGGTTTGTATACTTTCTAGATTGTGTAAATTTTTATATTAGTATAATTTTTAAAGTTAACTATCAATATGTGAACTGAAGGGGAGACAGAGCAAAGAAAAAACATGTCTATATTCAAACTCTTCATATTCAAAACTTAAGAGCCACTCCCCCAGTAGCTAAGTTGTTAAAGGGCATGAATAGTTTTCACAAAAAGATCTGCAAATTAAAAATGAAATGAAAACGTGCTCTAAGTCACTTTTAGTAGTAGCAAAGAAGTGAAAACAAAGTGGGTGCCCATCACCTGAGGAATAGCTAAGCAAACTGTGGTTTATGAATATAGTAGAATACAATTGTACACTAAGAAGTGATTACTATAAAGAATTCAGAGAAGTAAGAGAAGACTTATGTGAACCAATACAGAACAAAATAAGTAAAACCAAAAGAACAAAATACATTATGAACAAAAGGATCACTAAAGATCATTAAAAAGAAGTCATACTCTGAGAATTTGAATACCAGCAAACATCTCAGATAACAGATCATGAAACATACCCTCTCCCTCATGACAGAGAGGACTGCTGCCAGAACAGAATATTGTTATGCCTTGTCAGATGAGGTCACGGTATTGAATGTTTTTACTTAATTGTTTTTCTTTACCTTAAGGGAAAGTTCAGTTAGTGGAGGAGGTGTTGAAATGACTGTGATATAAAGACAAAATTTAGCATCAATAAAATTTAATTTTTTTAATTAAGAAAATCTGCTGGTATAGTGGTTATTTATTTCTTACAGATATAAAGAAGCTGTTCTTGCTTATGAGAATGCAAAACAATGGAACAGTGTAATCCGTATCTACTTGGATCACCTTAATAATCCTGAAAAAGCTGTTCGAATTGTCAGAGAAACACGGTCTCTTGATGGAGCCAAAATGGTAGCCAGGTAAACGATTTCAACTAACCTCCTACGTTTTCTCTAGATGTCAGGTCAACTGAGCTTACTTCTTACTCTTAGAAAAAAAAATTCCACACTCATCTAGCTTCACTTTCTTTTTTTTTTTAACCTTATTTGTGGCACAGAAATACTACTATCATTTCCCCAACATCCTAAATTCACAGCTAGATAGGGTTTGGTATTTCTTCTGCTTTGAAAGGTCTTCCTATTCAAGATTCACACCTCTTCTAGCTTATATTCATTTTCCTGGCCAGATACCCCACAGAATATTATTTTGTATGTCCTCTCATAACCTTTTGTAACATTTAACACATTGATCTAGGAGGGCCTCTTTCCTTCAACATCCTTTCTCAAGCCTCTTCATACAGGGATGGGCAACGTGTGACCTCTAGGCCACATGTGGCCTTCTAGGTCCTCGAGTGTGGCCTTTTGACTGAGTCCAAGTTTTACAAAACAAATCCTTTTACTAAGAGGCTTTGTTGTGAAGTTTGGATTCAGTGAAAGGGCCGTCCATACTTGAGGACCTAGAGGGTCACATGCGGCCTCAAGGCCGCAGCTTCCCCACCCCAGAAAGAGCACTGAATGTGGTGTCAGAGGACCTGGGTGACTTGGGCAAGTTAGTGTTCCCATCTGTAAAAGGAGAGAATTGGACTAAATAACTTCTGAAGTCCCTTCTAGCTTGAATCCATGATCCTATGACCATAACCTCTTCAGAAAGCCTTTTGATGGGGATTCCAAGTGAAAAAATTGTATTTTACTGATTAATTCTGTTTTCCAAGACTTGGAGAAAACATCTTTGTTTATTCCTATGAAAGTTGGTTTTCCTCCTAGCTTAAAATGAGATGCTGAAATGTTTTTTTAAGTTTTGTTTTTGTTTCTTGTTTTTTGAGGTGAGCTAAGAGGAGGGGTGTTTCTAAGGTATTAATACTTTTAGTAGAGCTATTTTTCTAATGCAAGGGACCAAAAAATTTGGTCCTTCTCCTGGACCCCTTCAAGGGTCTCTTCCACAAACAACTCTAGGTTATTAGTCTCTTCCAAACCTTTTTTTAATTAATTAATTTATTTTTAGTTTTCAACATTCACTTCCATAAGATTTTGAGTTCCAAATTTTCTCTCCCACCCCAAGACAGCATGCAATCTGATATAGGCTCTACATATACATTCATATTAAACATTTTCACATCAGTCATGTTGTAAGGAAGTTAGAACTAATGGGAGGAACCACTCTTTCTTAAAGAATGAAATTTCTCTTGAGCTTAGGTACTTTTAAAGCCCTTGGGATCATGGTTGGCTTATCCCATCCTATTATTCTCTTGTTGTAGACCCAGAAAAAGGGATCACAGTGGATTAAGCCCTATTAACCCATGAAACCTTTATCCTGCTGACTGCATTCTGTGACAATAGCATCCTAGCTAATCACACACACTCCTCCTTTATACTAATAAAGTTTTACATAATTTGTCTGAACAGTGGATCACACTGAGGGCTCAAAAAGTTTTTTGTCTTTTTTTAAAAAATAAGTTATAGACTATGTTTCAATACAAATCATAATCTAATTTGTAGTAAATTATTTTATTCTAGATTCTTTCTTCAATTGGGTGACTATGGCTCTGCTATCCAGTTTCTTGTTATGTCCAAATGTAATCATGAAGCTTTTACCCTAGCCCAGCAGCACAATCAGATGGAGATCTATGCAGATATCATTGGTAAGCGTGGTTTTTTTAGTTGCATTTCTAATTTAAAAAAAAACTAGACAATGAAAGTTTAATTGATCAAATAGGTCTTTTAAAAATGTATACTAGAGGAGCAGTTAGGTGGTGCAGTGAATAGAGCTCTGGCCTTGGAGTCAGGAGGACCTGAGTTCAAATCCAGCCTCAGACACTTAACACTTACTAGCTCTGTGACCCTGGGCAAGTCACTTAACCCCGACTGCCTCACCAAAAAGCAAAAAAAAAAAATGTATACTAGACCTCTTGTATAACATTATAATGCTAGATTCATGCTCATCAATAGGACCTTATAGATGAGGCCACTTTATAATTCAGTCCATTTATTATTTTGGTTTCTTAGCCCCATTGGATGTAGACCAAGATGTACCTGACTAGTATTTAACAATGACATAGTAAAAAACTCCTGAGTGGTAAAGAAAATGTGTTGGTTTTTATGTGCCACTTTTTTTAAATTTAAAGAATATTAATAAGTCAGCAAATGGAATAGTCATATTGTGGTGATCTATAACATATATTGGTGATGATTGGTATATAAGTAGAAATTAGCCTGTTACTAAAGCTACATCGCTATGATTTGGGAGAATCAAAAGGAGCGACTTCTCATTCTCAAAATACCTAACTGCAAATTCTTTATATACTTGGTAGACTTAGAAATTGTTGAAATCTTTAAATTCCTATCTTAATACTATGAGCCATTATTTAATGTCCAGAAAGCCTTTTTGTGACAAAATGTTAGTGGTAGTTAGCAATGGAGCTAATGAGAAAAAAATAGAAACAAGTTTTTGGTTGTTTTTTGGGGAAGAAGGGTGAGTGGGGTTGGGTATTTTTTTTTTTAATCCAGAAACACACTGCAATTTTCTAATACCTAGACAATATCCTTGTACTGTATCTAAGTGCATTAAATTACAATGTTATGCCCTTCATGGCAGCTAGGTGGCACAATGCCAGGTGTGAAATCAGGAAGACTCATCTTTCTGAGTTCAAATCTGTCCTCAGATATGTACTAGCTGTGTGACCCTGGGCAAGTCCCTTAACCCTGTTTGCCTCAGTTCCCTCATCTGTAAAATGAGCTGGAGAAGGAAGTGGCAAACCACTCCAGTATCTTTGCCAAGAAAACCCCAAATGGGGGGTCGCAAAGAGTTGGATACAAGTGAAATGGCTGAGCAAATTGTGAACAAATTTATGACCTTCATATTTGAATAAGACAAGACTCACTCATTTATCTCATGAACTGTTGTTAAAACTTCCTTTTTCCATGTAGTGTATCCATATTGCAACCTTAGTCCCCAGGCCTGGAATCAGAATGTTTGGTTGGTATTTAGAATGTTGAATTTCTAATGTTTGGTCTCTAGATCTATGAACCTATGATCCCTGTTCAGGGAGAGAGTCATAAAACCTTGAATACCTTCTTAATCCTCTTACCATTCAAGTGGCAATCAAGAAAGAATCAGAAAGCATTCTTTTATCTTGAATTAATCTAATTTAATATCTTTCCCAAGTGCCTAGATTGCAGAGAGATAGGTGCCCAATAGTTAAAAACAAAAGTACAACCCTGAGGAAGACTGAGGATAAAGTCAGAAAGAAGAAACCAAATATAAGGTAGGAAATGGAAGGGATAGGGTTGGAGACAGATGAGAAAATGGAAAAGGAGCAAGGAATAGCAGGGATTAGGGGAAAAAAAGCTGCATATTCCAGTTTCAAATAGAAGTCATTGTGATTTAACCTTATTAAGATAGCTATAGAGTATCAAAAAACATATAATTCTTTTTTTAAAAAAAAACTAAATAAGAATAAAAAAATCTTAATTCCAGATTCCCTTCTCTTTTATGAGAGTTTACTATTTGTAATTCATTTTTCAGAGAAGTAATGAAATGTAATGGAGATGGGCAAATGCTTAGAGTGTATTAATGTGCTTAGCTAATGCAAATTCCCCATGTGGAGCTTGCTTCCAAGAGAGTTGTGATGATGTGAGAAAGAAAGGACTCAGAGAGACTGTGAGTTGTGTAGAGAATCTCTCCATTGGACCCTACAAATGTGCAGGGTCCAATTTTATCCTAGAGGAACTTGCACATGATACCAAGTATGCATGTATACAGGACCTCATCCAAATCTAGGCTGCTCACATCTTCCTTTAAGGGTTCTAGGGCACCCTGGGTAGTTTGGAGGGTCTCTTTTCTGTTACCATTGGCTTAACCCCCCCCACCAGCTGTGTTGCCTACATTGTTAGGTGCCAGTGTTACCCCCTCATACTCAGTTAACTTCAGTAGTTCTCCATCACCTTCAGGATCAAATATAAAATCCTCTGTTTGGCATTCAAAGCCCTTCAAAATCTAGTTTTCCCTCCTCTCCATTACCTTTCCAGTCTTCTTATACCTTATACCACCCCCATACAAACTACACCAGCCCCCTTGATTTTCCACAAACATAACATTCTGTCTCCTGACTTTGGAATGCTCTTACTCCCCTTCTCTCCCTCCTGGCTTCCCTGGCTTCCTTCAAGTCCCAACTAAAATCCCATCTTCTACAGGAGTCTTTCCCAATCCCTCTTAATTCTAATACCTTTCTTCTGTTATTTCCTATTTATCCTGTACGTAGCTTATTTGTACCTATGTGTTTGCTTTTTATCTCTCCCACTGAATTCTGAATTCCTTGAGGACAAGGAGTCTTTTGTCTTTCTTTGTATCTCCAATGCTTAGCACAGCTGCCTGGCATATAGAAGCAGCTTAATAAATGCTTACTGACTGACCATGTGGTCATCCTAGTTCCATGTGACTGCTTAAAATCATTTCTATTGTAAAAAGGAACATATGCATCAAAAGATAAAGCAAGAACTAGTATAACATTTCCTGAGTATCTCTCCCCTATACCACCTCAGTCTCTGGGGTGAGTAGATATAAACCTAGCCCAGTTTCTGCAGAGCTTTTATCCTATCGAATTCATTTCTAAAGGTAGCAGCACTGCTGGATGAGTCCTTGTGTCAGGTACTGCTGGGGTGGGTCCTAAAAATCACTTCTTGGGGCATCAATGCTGCATTGGATGCAGACCCATATTCTGGACTGCCAGGATTCCAGGGCACAGTTTTGACCTTTCAAAACTCACAAGATTGGAGGCTCTACCCCCCTCACCTAGAATGAAAAAGAACAAATACAGAGATCAAGGACCAAAACCCATCTTTTAAGGACCACATGAACTTAACATGGAGAAGAAGCCTTTGCCCCTTACAGCACTGTCTCTCACCAGATACATTGTGTGGAGTCAAACTTTCAGCACAGACAGAGAGAAAATAGCCAAAGAGACTAGACTGAGGCTGATTCAGTCAACCAGTCAATAAACATTTATTAAGCGCCTTTTGTGTGCTAGGCACTATGGATACAAATATAAAAAAAATGCAATCCCTGTCTTCAAGACCTGGCAGAGGGGTAGGAAGCCAAAGTACATGACTGGGAATCGTGGAAAAGTCAAAGAAGTACCAAAGTAGTACAGCCACGTGAGAAAGGAGATGTTCAGAGCTGAGCTACCTCCTTTACTGCGGATTTTGGAGTTCATGGCTCCACCTTCCAATCAGAGAGGGAGAGGGCAGTGATGAGGTAGAGTACCAAGGCTGATGAGATCTTGCAAGAAGTTGAGGTTTTCCTAATAATAAGCTTCCTGGTGCATGGTGGAAAACTCAGAGAAGTCCCAAAGAATGCAGCCAGGTGAGAAATGAGATGTTCTGAGCTGAGCTTGCCCTCAATTCTGGATATACAGTCAGTAGAAAATGGATTCTCCTAACCACATGGTTAGCAAATTGGATCCAGTTACAGAATGTAGATGCATAATCCATAGTCTCTCTAAAACCTTTCCACTCCATGTCATCATGACTCTCCCAAAAGCAGGTTCCTTAGCCTCTCTGCATGGGGCATCTGTATCAATTAAGGATACAGATGTCCTCTAAACACAGCTCAGTCTCCAATAGAGAAGATTATGGGGTATTCTACTAACTGAATATAAATGTGTAAGTGATTGTGGTCCTTTGATTTTTAAAAAGTAAGATTCTAATATTCCTAGCTTGTTCCTTCTTACATATTTGAAGAGGAAATTAAAAAGGGTCTTCGTAATGTAATTCCTCCTCCAGTCATAACAGTTTATGCTTTATTGAAATAGCAGCCACTGCTGCCAGCAGAACCTCCTCTAAGCAAAATGTGCTTTGCTCTTCCCAGATCAGACAAAGAAAGAGAAATTTTAAAAATTACCCTTCTAGGCAGAGGCAGAGGCGAGATCTGTGTAATACTCACTTAACACCCTCTCTGCATTTATCCTGAGTGTTCAGAACTGTCATATCTTATCTGGATTCAGATTGTGAGTGAGAGCTATAGCATCTACTTGAACCTTTCTCCACTGGGCCAAAGGTACTTAAGACTCAAACCTGAAATGTGAAAGGAAAAAAATTAGACAGCTTGAGGGGACTCTGAAAACACTCATTTTATAGATGAGAAAACTGAAGCCCAAGAGAACTAAGTGATTCTCAAGTTCACATAGGAGCAGAGTTCCTAATTACCAAGCCAAGAATCTTATTATACACCAAATATAGATAGATAGATAGATAGGTAGATAGATAGATAGATAGATAGATAGATAGATAGATAGATAGATGTATACATATATATAATACATATGCACACATACATATATACGTATACACACATGCTATATACATACATATACACATATGTGTGTGTATAGCTATAGATACATAATTTTGACTCAAATATTGTCTCCATTTCCTTTCTCATGATTACTCAAGGAATTGCTGAAAGAAGGGAAGAAGTTAGATCGAAGTTGAATTTGCTGATTCCTATAAACTCTTAAATCTGTAATTAAGAATAAATTTTTTAGATTCATAAAAATCGCTTAGGGTGGTAGTTAGTTAAGCCAGATTCTCTCATAATTCCTCCCCCCTCATTTATCTCTTTACATAGAGAAGTGAAAGAGGGAGAATGTACTGATAGCAAAGTTGATACATGGCCCACTTACAAAACTACAAATCGTAATATATATGGTGTCTTAACTTTTAAATATTATGTAGATTATTTATCAAAGCTTTACTAAATATATTAACTTGAGAATGTTTTACTCAATGAACTTGTGTTATAGGTTCTACAGACACTACTAATGAAGACTATCAGAGCATTGCAGTATACTTTGAAGGAGAAAAGAAGCATCTTCAAGCTGGAAAATTCTTCTTCTTATGTGGCCAATATGCACGGGTTAGTATTTGCAAAAGAGAGCACCACCAAAATTCATAGAGATGGCTAAAGGAAAAAATTGAGGGCTCCAAGGAAAAATTGAATATCACCTTCACTGTCCCAGACTTAGAGTCAAAACTTTAGGCCTCTTTGATGAGTTCCTTGTCCAGTCACTCATTCAGTTTTTTCTAACATCTATCAGATCAATCCCTTTACTGTGCTGTAGTTCTGCCAGACTCTTACCACCTCCTGCTTCAAAGAATATAGCCTTATCACAGCTTCCTTACTGTTCTCCCTACTGAATTCATATCATTGCCAACAATCTTGCTGAAACACCACTTTCACAAGTGAACAAAAGAGCATTTGTTAAGCACTTAACTACGTACAAGGAGCAATGCTGAGTGGTGAGGATACAAATAGGAAAGCTGGATAGCCCCTGCCGTCAAGAAGCTCATATACTAATATGGGGAGATGACACAGTAGGGAAGGTTTCAGGGGCAAGTGACATGGCCGTGCCCCATGAGGGACATCAGCAAAGGAGATGCTAAGACATTTTCTTCAATGCCATTTTCACTGATAAAGCCATATCATTTCTGATGTTCATTCATGTGGCAGTGCCAAAGACTTCAGTGGCATGGCTTTTCCTTTGTGGGTTCTCAGCAGCTGTGGCTGCTGAGGAAGCAGGGTCTGTAGCACCTAGAGAAGCAGTTGCCAGTTGTTTCTCTACAAGAATTGACTCTCTGGGTAATGGTACAAGCACACTTACTGAGATGCAAGCAGGGCTAGTGATATGGGGGCCTTTGCTATTTGCTGGAATTTCAGCATGGGGTTCTGGGCTGTCTCTGTTTAGGTTTCAGGTAGTGATTGAAGTTGACTTGCCTGGCACCTATAATCTCTTTCTAAGTTCAAGAAGCATTTATTAAGCACTGACTGTGTACTAAGCTCTATGCTAAGTGCTGTGAATCAGAGACAGAAATTAAATAGTCTCTACCATTAAGGTGCTTCCATTCTCTCGAGGGAGAAATCACATATACCTACATCCTAGAGTACTTCGGGAAGTTGCAGATGGAATTCCCAAAAAACTGTCAGGAATCTTTGAAAGACTGTGGAGACTTGGAGATGTACTGTAGGCAAATGTCCAAATTAAAAAAAAAAAAAGAATCAGAATAAAATTGGTAAAAGCTGAAAGTGAACTGAATTTTGATTCCTGGTGAAGTTGTTAGACATTTGGGCTGCATGAAGAGAGGCAAAGACTCCAGGACTAGGCAGGAGAGAGTCTGATTTGATTCTGCTCTTGCGAGACCACATTCAGTCCCAGGTAGTACATTTTTTGTTTCTTTGTTTTTAAATAGATTTTTATTTATATCTTTTGTTCTTACATTGCCTACATTTCTCCTTGTATTGCTTCTCTCTGGAAGTTCCCCTTCCAGAGAGCCATCTTTTATATGAAAAAAATGATACCATATTTTTAAGAAGGATATTGATAAACCAGAGATTGAGTAGTATATAAAGACATATATATACCATATAAAGATCAGTTGAAGGAACTGGGAATATTTATCCTGGAGAAGAAGACCTAGGAAGGACATAATAGTTTTCTCAAGTATTTATTTGAAAGGGCTGACACATGGAAGAAAGATTAGATTTGTTCTGCTTAGCCTCAGAGGGCAGAACTGAAAGCTAAAAGTGGACATTTGAAAAGAGACAAATCTAGACCTGACATAATTAAAAAACTTCCTAACAACTAGACTTATCCAAAAGTAGAATGAACTTCCTTGAAAAATAGTGATGACCCCACTGATGGTCTTCAGGCAATGGCTAGATGATGACTTTTCAGTTACGTTATATATAGTGGGGATTTTTGCTCAGGAATGTTCAGGACTGGGTAGCCCCTGAGCTCCCTTCTACTGCTAATTTTCTTTGAAACCACAGTAATTCTTTTTTGCCTGCAAAATGAAGTGCCAATTCTTTGACCTAGCATCATGGAAATTACTGAGAGACAAGAGTATAGAAAGAGTATAGAAGAGAACCCAGGGCCAGAACTTTAGCACTTAACACCCTGAGGTGGAGGTCAGTGAAGAAATACAGGGGAACTAAGGTGATACCAAGCAGAGCTAATTGCTCCCACGTAAAAGCTCAGCAGGGGCCGGGGTAGGGGTAGGGTCTGGCCTTCACGCAAAACTCCGATTCAAGAACTAAAACTGTAGAGGTTAGTAAAACAAACACACCAACTGATATAAAAAATTATTGTAGATCCAGAGATCTCCCAAAAGGAGATAGTAACAACTTGATTTTCCACAAGGACTGTATGAATATCTGAAAGAAATGAAGCTAAGATAAAAAGGGAAATAAAAGATCTGGAGAAAAGAGAAAGGCAAAAAATAGCTTAAAAGAGAAATTGATAAACCTTATTCAAGTAACAAACTCCCTAAAAACTAGCATAGACCAAACAGAAATCAGTGACTCCATGAGACAAGAAATATTAGAACAAAATCAAATATTGAAAAAATAAAAGAAAATATAACATACTTAATATCGGAAATAACTGACCTGGAAAACAATCCAAGAAGAGGTAAATTTAAGAATCACTGGGCTTCACGAAAACTAAAATTTAAAAAAAAAATCCTGGACAATATACTTTAAGAAATTATACGTGAAAACTGCCCAGATCTATTAGAACTAGAGGGCAAAATGAAGATACAGAGAAACCCCAAAAGGTAAAGTCCCAGAAATATCATAACCAAATTCCAGAACTCTAGTTATCAAAAAAAAAAATTGAGTATCCAGAAAGAAGTAGTTCAAGTACTAAGAAACCAAAGATATAGGGCAGAGGAGGAGATGGGGTGAGGTCCTAACACCCAGAGCTTCTACTATAAACAAAAGGAAATCTTCGAATACAGTATTCCAAAAGGCAAAAGAAATAGGCTTACAGCCAAGAATACTTACCACACAAAGTTGAGTATAATCTTACAGAGAAAAACAGTTGACCTTCAATAAAATAGAGAACTTTCAAGCTTTTCTGATAACAAGAACAGAGTTGAGTAGTAACTATGAAATACAAACTGAAGAATCAAGAGAAACCTTAAAAGGAACTTATTTGAGCAACTGGAAGGGGCTTTCTATCTATCTATGATGAGGAGGAGGAGGAGGATGCACTAACATTCTATTAAGAGAAGAACAACTGTCCTTTCACAACCTTAAAACTTCTTTTTTTAAATTCAATTTTATTTTATTTTCCTGACCCCCTTACCTCCTCCCCCCAATTGAGAAAGAAAAAAAAATTATAAACATTATAAAAAAAACATTATAAATAAGCAAAACAAATTCACACAGTAGCAATGTCAAAACAAACAAAAACCATGTCTCAGTCTGTACTTTGAGTTCATTATTTCTCTCTGGAGGTGGTAGCATGTTTCATGAGTCTCCTGGAATTGTGGTTAGTTATTGTGTGTTAATCAAAGTTCCTAAATCTTTCAAAGTAGTTTGTCTTTACAATGTTGTTATTGTATAAATTGTTCTCCTGGCAGAACCTTAATGACTTCAAGGGGCCTTCATGGAATTAAGTAAGAAAAAGAAATGTCCTTTCAATGTAGATTGGTTATGGTCTGAGGATTTTAAGAGAAGAAATAGAAAGAAAGGTAAAAGAAATATGCTGGTGTATCAAGGAGGAAGGAAGAGTTGAAACTTGCTATTTCTTTAATTGGTGTGCATGAAAAGAGTACACAAACATGGAAGAAAGACTAGACAGAATGGACATTAGAATAACTTCACTTATTTGAAATGGACACAGGAAGATTTAACAAACACAGAATCTCAAATGGGAAAGGGACAGGGTGAAGAAGGAGGAAAGTAATTGGGAAGGGAGTTTATATAAGCCAGACAAACTTCAGCTTTGGAGATTGGGTCCTGAAGGGAGAATTAAAAGGAGAAAAAAATAAAGAACTAGAATCTTGGGGAAGGAAGGATGTCCCATCAGTGAGAAATGGATTAACAAATTGTGTTACATGAGTATAATGGAATATTATTAGGCTGTAACAAATGATGAGAGGTGATTTCAGAGAAATCTAAATGGCATGAATTGATACAGAGGGAAGTAAGCAGAACCATGAGAATAATTTATATGAGAACAATATTGTAAAGAAAAACAATTTTGAATAACTTTTCAAAGCAATGACTAATTATGTCTTCAAAGAAGCCATGATGAAACATGTTATCCACCTACTGACAGGTAATGAGAACAAGGTGCGGAGACACACATTATTTTTAACATGGCCAAATGTGGGTTCATTTTGCTCAACTATGCTTATTTGGCACAAGGAGTTCTCCCCCTCATTTTTAATTGGAGGAAGACGGTGTCAGTACACTGAGAGAAAGAGCCATTGAAATATTGTTTTTAAATGCACAAAATAGAACTGAAGAAAGTACAGATAAACAGGACATTTTGAAAGTAATTTGTGGAATTTATTACATATACATGCATATTTTTAAGCTGCATGAAATAGAGATTCATGGTTTTATATACAATCTGCTTTTTGTATTTTGCTATACATATATATGGAAATCCTACTTTTTTCTTTTTGGTGTTCAGAATGCTTTAAAAAGAAAGAAAAATACAAAATGCCATGAAACTGCAAATCCTCAGTAATGTTTTTCAAATTATTGCTTCTCAATTTGGAACTATGCCCCCAAAGTTACTAAACTGTGTATACCTTTTGACATAGCAATGCTATTACTTAGCCTATACTCCTACGAGACCTTTTGACATAGCAATGCTATTACTTAGCCTATACTCCTACGAGATCAAAGACAGTCGAAAAGGACCCATTTATACTAAAATATAGTAGTACAACTCTTGTAGTGGCAAAGAACCAATGGTTCCCTTTCATTGGGAAATAGCTGACAAATTATAGTGTATGAATTTAATGGAATAATGTTGTGCCATAAGAAATGACAAAAGGAATGGTACCAGAGAAATTGGGAAAGTCTTATGATTGACAGAATAAGCAAAATCAGTAAGACAATTTATACAGACAGACAACAATGAAAGACTTAAGGTTCTGATTAATGCAGTGGCCAAATATGATTCCAAGGGACTGATGATTCTACTTACCTCCTGATGAGGAGATTAAGGACTTAAGATACAGAATGAAACATATATATGTGTATATGTATGTAAATAGATATATTTTAGTTTTCTTTTTTCTTTTCCAAAGGGATGGGAAAAAGAAAATAATTGCTTATTAATTGAAAAAATTAAATTAAAAAGACTCATTGTTTTAAATAATATACTAATGATTTTAACTTGACTAATATAGAAGCAAAAAATTAATCTTGTTTTTATATTTAGAAATTTAGTTTATTAATTTGTAGCTGAAATTTTCCACACATTTTCTAAAAATAATTGATGATTCCTTTAACTTTAAACAATAACAAAACTAATTATATTTTTGCTATTGCTATTATTACATATTAGCATTTAGTTACTGACTTCTAAGGTCACCCTTGCCAATCTCTTTTTCTTTCAGGCACTTAAACATTTTTTGAAATGTCCAAGCTCAGAAGATAATATGGCAGTAGAAATGGCGATTGAAACAGTAAGAAACTTTTTTCAAACTGTTTTTCAGGGGATGTGGGCTATACTAGACCTAGGATTTCATTGATGTAGGAAATTCTTTGTGAGGAAACTTTTCTCCTACTGTATATCAGCACCTCCTCTTCCATTCGTAAGAGAGTTGCCTGGGGCATTGAAAGTTGAAGTTACTTGCCTTGTCACACAACTAGTTTATATGAAAGGTGGGACTTTTTTAATCAAGGTCTTATGGACTCTGAGATCAGCTTTGCATCCACTACCCCACTTAAAGTCTTATTCAAGTTAAAGAAGAGCATCAAATTTTTTCACGGGAGATCTAAAATTTGTCAGAATTCTCCAAATCTGCCTAGCTCTAGTGGCCTAGTAAGACACTTTCAAAATAGAATCTATTATGCATTTTAATATTTGGTATTATATTTATAATTGGCCATTTACTTTTTTATCCATTTCTAGGAAAACACAAAAGTTTCAAACCTGCATTTTAGTGTTTGTTATACATCACAATGTATTCAAACAGAATGTTTGAGCAACTGCTGCTCATATAATATAGGCTGGATGTTATACATGGAAGGAGAGGTCCTAGATGCTGTCCTCAAGGAGAGAACACTGTGGGGTGTCAGGAAGTGGGGAAGAGCATTGGTCTGGAAGTCACAAGAGCTGTTTGTTAGTCCAAGCTCTCACATGAAGTTTGCTAATTCCTTGTGTGGTCATGAGCAAGTCATTTAGACTTTTCTGAGCACCATTTTCCTTAACCAAAAATTAGAAAACTGGACTAGATTATGTCTAATTTCCTTTCCAACCCTAATGTTCAATGACTTCTAGGAGTGTATGGTCTAGATAGAGTCAATTATTTTAAGTAAGATTTTTTTCAAATAATTTATGTCTGCTACTTGTAAATAAGAAATATGTAATAATAAAGATATTTTAATATACTTTTCTGCATGCTTTATATGATAATATACTACAAGAGATTTATATTTTTCTTTGATCTTATTTCATAGGTTGGGCATGCTAAGGATGAAGTTTTAACTAATCAGTTAATAGACTATCTGCTGGGTGAGAGTGATGGTATGCCTAAGGTATTACAATCATTTATTTCACTTAACTTTTGGGGGATCTTGCTTATAAGATTTTAGTTCATTCTGCCCTCTGATGTGTTTGTAGCTTTTGGAAGAATTTTTGTTCATTTGTCATTTAGAATGGACACTGTGATTTATGATATATATAAAAATCTCCTTCTAGATAATACTGAGACAGTTGGCTCAAAGGGTAAGTCTACTGCAAAATATCAGAAAGCATTGTGCTAATTATGCCAAAAGCATAAGTATGTGTTATTTTAAATTTGAAAGTTACAAGGCAAAAACACAGAATGCTTTCTGGCAAGGATATATTCTATTCCTTCACTGGGAATCCATAGAGAAATAGTCCAGGAAGGTCATAAGGTATAAACACGCTATTAAAGAAAAGTATTGAGTTATTCAATTCAATAAATTTATTTATTAAGTATCCGCTATGTACCAGATATTGTACAAGGCGCTGTGTACAACAGCAACAATCACCTGATCTCAAGAAGTTTACGTTCTATTGAGGGAACACAACCTATTCCCAAGTATATTTTAAAAAATACAAAGTTATTTCCATAAAGGAAATCCCATTACTTAGAGGATATAAGGGAAGGCTTCATGTACAAAGATAGCCCCTGCATTGTAGATTTAGGAAGGCAGAAATGAGGAGGATGAGCATTCCAGACATGGGGACAAGGTGCAAGGCTCAGAGACAGGAGATGGAATGCAGTATTCAGGAAACGACCAGCAGGCCATTTTGACTAGAACAGAGAGTGAGTGGAGGGGAATAATATGGAAATAAGAGCAGAAAGGTAACTGGATGATAAATTTGAAGTGATTTGAATGTTATGCCGAAGAGTTTGCACTTTATCATAGAAGTAGAAAAGGAGCCTTTGAAGATTTTTGTGTAAAGGGTTATGTGGTTGGATCCGTGTTTTGGTAATAACCTAGCAGACAAGGAGACTTGTATGGGGCAGCTAACTGGCGCAGTGGATAGAGCACCAGCCCTGAAGTCAAGAGGACCTGAGTTCAAATCCAGCCTCAGACCAAACATTTGACACTTACTAGTTGTGTGACCCTGGGTAAGTCACTTAACAGCAATTGCCTAAAAATTTTAAAAAAAAAAAGGAGACTTGTTAGATGGCTGTTTCAGTCATCCAGGTAAGAAGTGATGAGTGCCTAAACTAAGCTAGAAACTGTGAATCAAGAGAAAAGGATGGATGTGAAACATGTTGTGGATGTCAGAATAACACCACTGGACAAATGATTGGATAGGAGGATTGAGGGAGAGGAGTTAAGGATGACCCCAAGAGTACAAACCTTTGTAGTTCCTACTGAAAACACTAGCAGATTACAACCATGAGGACACTCCCTGGCATAATTCCTTGTGTGACTGGGTGGAAAGAGATTACAGCAGAGGCTCAGGATTCAGGCATCAGCTAAGATAGACAACATTACAGAGCTGATGCATGAGTGTGTCATGAAGCCATTGGAAATGAACTACAGTGCCTTGGTGGACCAGCATCTGCCCCAGTACAAGAAACTGGCTAAAGAAGGAAGACTTGAAGAAGTAATTACATAAGAGAGAGGGACAAGGTTTAGGGTTCCCCTTCTCTCCCAAATGAGAAGAGAACAGAAGGAAGGCCAAAAGGACTCACAGACAAGCAGGACAACTTTGACAGTTGTATATGGGATTTATATATACTTATAAAATCAAGCCTAAATTAGTAGATATTCTTGATTTCATGCAAAAGCCATTCCTTCTGTTTTACAGTGAATATGGGAATGCTTATTTTATTTGATATTTTGTAAGTTCAGAATAAAAAAATGAAGAACAAAATAAAAACAGAAAAAAATTGAAAATTCATATTAAGATGGCAGTTAGCCCAGCCCTCACATAACTGCTTTGGCAAAAACCTAAAAATAACACTAGACCAAATAACAATCAAGAAATCCAATGAGAAAACTACAGTTTTCTCAAACTACATAAAAACTCAAACTACGTTAAAAAATAAGAAAAAGAAGAAGCCCATGAGGAATAGGGAAGCCAGGTGAATGAGCTATAATCCTCTCATTATGACTGGAAATGGGTCAGAAATACCTGTGCTGTAGGAAAACATAGAAAGACTTGCATGAAATAATAAAGAGTGAAACAAGCAGAACCAAGAGAACATTGCATACATGAATAGCAATATTATTCAAAGAGAAAATGTGAATGAGTAAACTATTCTGAGCTATATGAATATTCAAGTCAACTACAAAGGACCTATGAAGGAAGATGCTATCCACCTCCAGAGAAAGAATGATATATGGAACTTTGTATTGTATAGTTTCACATATATGTATGTCAAAGGTTGGCCCCTTCTAGTGTGGACTTGGAAGGGAGGAAGGAAAAAAAAAGGAAAAGGTGGTAGAGGTGCTAAGAATCACAACTCTTAGACTGTCAATAAACTTTAGCTTGACTGTGGGTACTCAAAAAAAAAAAAAAGAAAAAAAAGAATTATCTGTAGCTGATTACTCTACATCTGGAAGCAACAGGAGTGGACACCTCCTTACAAGAAAGCCCCAGGAATAGACGGGATGTGGGAAAACTGGGACACTAATGCACTGTTGGTGGAGTTGTGAACTGATCCAACCATGCTGGAGAGCAATTTGGAACTATGCCCAAAGAGCTATAAAACTGTGCATATGTTTTGATCCAGCAATATCACTGCTAGGTCTATATCCCAAAAACATCAAAAAAAAAAGGGGGGGGAGGATTTATTTGTATAAAAATATTTATAGCAGCTCTTTTTATGGTGGTTAAGAATTGGAAATTGAAGGGATATTCGTCAATTGGAGAATGTTTAAACAGGCTGTGGCATATGATTGTTATGGAATATTATTGTGCTATAAGAAATATCAAGGGGCAGCGAGGTGGGACAGTAGATAGAGCTCCAGCCTTGGAGTCGGGAGGACCTGAGTTCAAATCCAGCCTCAGACACATGACTCTTACCAGCTGTGTGACCCTGGGCAAGTAAGTCACTTCACCCCGATTGCCTCACCAAAAAGTAAAAAAAAAAAAATACGAAAAAGAAGAAGAAGAAATATCAAGCAGGATGGTTTCAGAAAAACCTGGAAAGACTTACATGAACTGATGTGAAGTAAAGTGAATAGAACCAGAAGAGCATTGCACACAGTAAAGGCAATATTGTGCGATGAAGAATTGTAAATGACTTACCTACTCTCAGCAATACAATGTTCCAAGACAATCCTAAACGACAAATGATGAAGCATACTATCTGCCTCCAGAGCAAGAGCTGATATTGTCTGAATTGCAGACTGAAGCATGCTATTTTTCACTTTCATTCTTTTTTTTTATTTAAGTCTTCTTGTACAAAATGACTGATATGGAAGTATTTTACATGACTGCACATCTGATTACTTACCATTTCAGGGAGTGGGGAGGAGAGAAAGGGAGGGAGGGATAGAATTTGGAACTCAAAACTTAAAAAAAAAATTTAAAAATTGTTTTAATGCGTAACTGGGAGAGAATTATATCTATATCTATATCTGTGTGTATATATATGCATATATATATGGTTTTTTTAAAGATTTGAACAAAGGAAAAAAAGAAAAGAAAGTCCTAAGGAGTCCAGAATTCCACAGTATGGACTTTGTAAGCAACCAGGAATGGCAGTGATCAGTCTAGGCATGATATCACTCAGACTGGGATGCCATATGTGGCCTCAAGGCCGCAGGTTCTCCACCCATGCCCTAGGCCCAGGATCCTGAGAACCATAGTGCTCTGTCCTGAGAGGCCATAGAAGGCCTTGAAGATTCTGCATTCTGAACTTCAGAGATGGGGGTGGGAAGTAGGGCAGCTAAAATCTACCAAAGTTCTTAGCATAGACATATTCCGTAGGTGGAGGTCAGTGCCAAAACCCAAATGACACAAGTTGAGAATAACTTCACTCTTATCTGACATGGACAAAAGGAGGATTAAACATATATTTATAAACCCAAACAGTTTTGTGTAGAAATATATCTACCTCAGTTGGGAAACCAGTGGGGATGGAAAGTTATTAGGAGGGAGAACGATAGTTACCAACCAAGTGGGGAGGGAATAGTTTCTAGCCAAACAAACTCCACCTGGGGAAGATAGATACTGAAGGGGAAATTAATAGAAAAAAAGAAATGAAAAGCAAAACTGAAAAGTAAGGGGTGCCTCTCACTTGGGAAATGGGTGAGCAAATTGTGGTATATAAATGTAATGGAATATTATTTGAGAAATGAAGAAGGAAACATTTTCAGAAAATCCTAGGAAATCTTGTGTGAACTAATGCAGAATGAAAGGAGCAGAATCAAGAGAACAATTTATACAGATCTGTGAAAGACTTGAGAATTCTGATCATAGCATGCCCAATCATGTCTCTGGAGGACTTATAATGAAGCATGTACCCAGAAGGACTCAAAGTACAGAAAGACACATAGATTTTCAGACAGGGGCAATGTTTGAATTTATGCTTATTTGTTTTTTTAAAAAAAGGTGTTTTTTCTTATTTTAATTGGGTTGGAGAATCAGAGGAGAGTGGGAGGCCAGCAATAGTGATACCTAAAAAGAAAAGACCATTGATATATTTTTTAAGCAGAAGAGAACAGAAAGAAGCTCAGGAAGAAGCATAACAGTTTTGAAAGTGACATGTTAAATGTATTATATAGTTTTTTAATTATTTTTATTTATTTTGTTAAATATTTCCCAATTACATGTAAAAAATTTTTAACAATTTTTTTTAATTTTGAATTTCATATTCTCTTCCCTCCTACCCTTCCCCCTTCCTTGAGAAAGCAAACAATTGGATATCAGTTATACATGTAAGGTCATGCAAAACATTTTTCCATATTAGCCATGTTGCAAAAAATAAAATAAAATAATTAAATATAGCAGTAGCAGTAAATAAAATTTATATGTGAAATATAATTTTCACAGGATTAATTAATTTTAAATTACTTGCAAAGATGACAGGTAATATAAAACAATATACTTCTGAAAACATAGATATATATTAGCTAGGATATTGTTTCTAAAAGAATTGACACATTAACTATAATCAATATAAACTCTCAGCTATTTGTCAATAAATGTAATTCCAGCTGAATTGCAACGTTTTCATTTGATCTCCAGCTATTTTGCTTTTAGCTAATTATCTGTAAAGGAAGTGATATTTTCTCTAATTATAGCTTCTATTATGTGGTTCTAATTAAGGATGCCAAATATCTGTTCCGCTTGTACATGGCTCTAAAACAATACAGAGAAGCCGCTAGGACTGCTATTATAATTGCCAGAGAAGAACAATCTGCGGGTGAGTACCTCAGGATTCAAACTGTTTTTGCTGATATGACATCATTTTAATTTTTACTCCTTAATAAGAATTGCATATTAGATTGTAAGAAGGATATTCAAAGTAAGCCTCTTTCCAGTCAAAAGGCAATCTAGTTTCATGTTTTATTTAATAATTCCTTTCTACATAGTCATCTCTCTACATGGTAAGGATGAGGGGCAATAATGCAAATAATGCAAAACTCATTTCAGTTTGAATTTGAATCATTTACTTAAGATTTGTAGCCTACTTAGATTTGTATAAAATCTGAGGTTACTAGGATTTGGGTTGTTCCCTTGAACAAATTCACAGTGCTTACTATCTGTTCTACTCTTAACAATTGTATTATAGAGTTCCAGTTCTTCCTCAGACACTTACTACCTTTGTGATCCTGAGCAAGTCAATTAAACCTCTGTTTGCCTCAGTTTCCTCAACTGCAAAATGGGGAAAATAGCAGCATCTGCCTCCCAGGGTTGTTGTTAAGGACCAAATGAGACAACATTTCTAAAGCACTTAGCACAGTCTGTAGTATATTGTAAATGCCATAAAAATGCTTTTCCCCTCCCTTCCCTCCCTCCTCTCCCCTCTCTTACAGCTAATTGTTTTATATTGTTTGGTGTTGTTATTATTAATTTATTTTGATTTTTCAACAATCACTTCCATAAGCTTTTGAGTTTTCAATTTTTCTTCCCCTCCCTCCCAAGATGGCATGCAATCTGATACAGGCTTGTTTGGTATTGTTATTCAATTTTGGGGGTACTTGGTTTTTTCCTCCTAAGAGGTAAAGACTATAACATGTCCATTTGATTGTCACCTATAACATTTAGCATAATGAGAGCATATAAATAATTCATTCATTTGTAATTGTTGTCTTATATTCTCTATGTTTTTTTTTCAAGGAAACTATCGAAATGCACATGATGTTCTCTTCAGTATGTATGCAGAATTAAAAACCCAGAAAATCAAAATTCCTTCTGAGATGGCTACCAATCTTATGATTCTGCACAGCTATATATTAGTGAAGGTAATATATAAATGAATTGAATAGGATGCATATTTAAGACTATATTTTCCCACAATCACTTTCACTTCCCACCAATGATTAAGGAGAATTTAATGGAAAGTACACTGCAATCAGAGTCACAATGGCTAGGCTCTAGACTCACTAACTAGCTATGTGATCTTGGACAAGTCAATTAACATCTAAGGCATTTAGCTTCCTCATCCACGGCATAGAATAATAAGATAATAAAAATCTCAGTTTGAAGGGACCTCAGAGATCATTCATTTGTTGAATTAACGTAGAGTGAATCTAGTCCAATTCATACCTTAGCAAAAACCACTTCTATAACGTACTTTGCAGATAGATGGTCATTCAAGTTCCCCTTCAAGTTTTCCAGTAAAACTGTTCTTTCGCAGAGCAGCCCATTCTACTTTCAAAATAGCTCTACTTGTTAGAAAGTTTTTCCTATGGCTACCTAGGAGTCATTCTGGATTACTTACCATCTCTTACCTGCCCCCCCCCCATATCCAAGCTGTTGGCAAGGTTTGTCAATTTCACATTTGCACTATGTCTCGAATGCACCTCTTTTCTGTCCTCTGACACTGCCACCACTCTGGTGCAGGCCCTCCTCGGCTATTACAGTAGCCTGCTAGTGGGTCTGCCTGCCTCAAGCCTCTCTCTACGCCAGTCCATCTTCCATTCAGCCACTAAATTTTATCATTTCACTCCGACTAGTCAATAAACTCCAGTGGCTTCCTCTTGCCTCCAGGATCAAATACAAAATACTCTATTTGACATTTAAAGCCCTTCATATCCTAGCCTCTTCATACCTATCTAACCTTCTTACTTCTCACACCCCAGTACCTACTCTTCAATCCAGCGATGCTGGCCTCCTTACTGTTCCACAAACAAGACATTCTGACTCTTAGCTCTAGGCATTTTCTGTGGCTGTCCTCCATTCCTGGAATGCTTTCCCTCCTACTTTCCAGCTACTGACCTCCTTGTCTTTAAGGGCCTTCCCCAACTCTTCTTAATTCCAGCGCCTTTCCCGTGGTACTTACTTCCTATTTATCCTGTATTTAGCTTGCTTTGTATATCTTTGTTTGCATGTTGTTTCCGTCATTAGATTGGCAATTCCTTGAGGGCAGGGACTGTCTTTTGCCTCTTTTTGAATCCCCCATGCCTAGCACATAGAACATAATAAATGTTCATTCATTCATTGATTCTTCTTTCTTTGATCTCTTTAGTGTATAGACCTAATGTCAGTTTTGCTGGATCAAAGTATATGCCCAGTTTAATAGCTCATTGGGCATAGTTCCAAATTGTTCTCCAGAATGGCTGGATTAGTTCACAGCTCTACCAACAGTGCATTATTCTATTTGTTTTCCCATAGCCCCTTTAGCATTTGTCATTTTACTTTTTTTGTTGGCTTAGCCAATACCGTGGGTGTCAGGTGGCACTTCAGAGTTGTTTTATTTTGCATTTCTCTATTAGTGATTTAGAGCATTTTTTCATGCAGCTATTAATAGCTTGGATCTGTTTATATACTTTGACGATTTATCAATTAGGGAATAGCTCTTAATTCTTTACATTTGATCCAGTTCCATGTTAGATAGGTGGAACAGATAGATAGATAGATCTTAGAACTGAAACCTTTATCAGAAAAACTTGCTGCAATGATTTTTTCCCCCAGTTCCCTACTTTTCTTCTAATTTTTGTCTCATTGGTTCTATGAAAAACCTTTTAAATTTTATGCAATCAAAATTATCCATTTATGTAAAACCTTTTTAATCTTATGTAATCAAAGTTGCCCATTTTACCTCCTATGAACATCTCTATCTTGTTTGATCATGAATTCTTCCCTTGTCCCTAGCTATTGGTAATTTGGCTTTCTTTTTTTAAAATCAAATTCACTAATTAATTGCTTGCCTTCTCAAGGAGAGGGAAAAAAAGGAAGGAGGAAGAGAGCTTGAAACTCAAAATTTATTAAAATGAATCTTAAAAATTGTTTTTACATGTAATTGAAAAAAATTTAATTTACTAATTTATTTATCTATTTTTTTTAGACAGCTCCAAGTTTCATTTATTGATTCAACAAGTTTTTTTACTTTCAATTTTATTAATCTCTGATTTTCAGGCTTTTTGCTTTGCTGTTTAATTGAGGGTTCTTAATTTCTTTATTTTCTAGCTTTTTTAGTTTTAGGTTCCAATCCAATGATCTGTTCTTTCTCTCTTATTTATGAGTTTAGAGATGTAAATTTTGTCCTCAGTGCTACATCCCAATTTTTTTTAATGTGGTCTAATTGTTGTCATTATCTTTAATGAAATTATTATTTCTATGAGTTCCTCTTTGGCCCCCATACATTCTGTAGGATTATTTAGTTTCCAATTAATTTTTAATCTTTGCTTCAAAGACCCTTTATTGAATGTAATTTTTATTACATTATTGTTGGTAAAAAAAAGAGATTCATTTAATATTTCTGCTTTTCTGCATTTTTGTGAGATTTTTATGCCCTAATACATAATTAGTTGTTATGAAGGTACCATGCACAGCTGAGAAATAGGTATACTTATTTCTGTTACCACTCAGTATTCTCCAGAAATCTATCATGTCTATCTTTTCTAAAATTTTATTCGAGGCTTTAACTTCTTTGTTTATTTTTTGGTTAGATTTATCTAGGTCTGAGAGGGTTAAATTGAGGTCCACCCCACTATTATAGTTTTGCTATCTATTTCTTGTAACTCAGTTATCTTTTCCTTTCAAAATTTAAATGCTCTGACATTTGGTGGTGGTTTAATATTGATATTAATCCACTGTTGATGGTACCTTTTGGCAAAATGTAGTTTCCTTGTTTATCTCTTTTCATTAGAATAGTTTTTGCTTTTGCTTTTTCTGAGATCATGATTGCATGATTACTGCTTCCTCTCACTCTGCCATCTTGATTCTCCTCCTGGAGTAATATGTTCATGATGAACTTATGCTAATTTGTAGTGGTCACAGCTTTCTTTTCTAAGTATTCACAAACCATATTTTTAATAATGTATTCTCATATTTTGCCCTATGGTTTGAAGATTCTACCTCATGTACCTTTTTAAAAACTGAACTATTTCCCATCTCTATTTCTGTTTTTTCCCATTCTACATGATTTCTCAGAGATCACCAACAGTGGCTAAATGATATCTGGAAGTTCTTAAAGAACCCTGGGATATAGTTCATCTAGCAAGTAAACAGTTTATCTGCTGCTCCTATATTAGCAGAAAGTTCCAGTAGATGGCTAAATCGTTAAAATCCATTACCATAACTAAATCCTCCTGCTGCTTCTAGAACTCATTGCATATTTCCTCCTTCTACGTGGGTGGTTTGCATTATACTCCAGCTACAATGTCACTCCTGTTTCTTACACCATTAATTTTCATCCATCTGTGAAATTCCAGCATGGATTTCCTAACAGAAGTTGCACCTTTTGGATATGTCCCTTTTAGCAAATCTGTTCCTCTGAAGTAGGTATACCCTTCTATTGCCATATTCCAGTTAAATCAAAACTTACCAAGTCATAGTGATAACAATAACATCAAATCTACCTCCTTGCATTAAGTTTTCACCTGTAATACCCGTCCTGCCTAATACTCAGGGTTACAGTGAGGTTCAGTTGAGAATAGTATAAATTAATTCACTCTGAAAACTGTTATACCAATGTAAGGTATTATTGCTACTGTCATTAAATAACTTTTTTGGTTTGGAATTGTGGCTTATTATCTCATGGATAATGGAAGTTGTAAAGTTCTAGTACTTATTTTTGTAGAAACAAAATAAAAAGAGCTTTAAAAAATTCATGTGCTTGCACATGTGCATTCATCTGGAGGAGTATGGATATATGTATGTTTGGATGTTTACTGTAGAGTAAATCATGTAACTTCTTTCAGATTCATGTTAAAAGTGGAGATCATATGAAGGGAGCACGAATGCTTATTCGTGTGGCCAACAACATTAGCAAATTCCCATCACGTGAGTACTATCTTGGAAGAGTTTCTTTTCCTCTTATAAAAATAGTCTGTGATAAATCTAATCAAAATATACTTGACAGCTCCATCACAAGATCTGTTTTCAAGGGTAGGTTTTCTTTGCTGTTGTACTTAGGAGGCACTAGGACCTTACTGTGATCTTCAGTTGAGACAAGTTAACAAATCACTTGAACTTGTTTGGTTTTTTTTTTTTTAATAGCATAATAGATCAAAATTACATATATTCAAGTGAAAGAGAAATACAGACATTGGATCCTTCTAAAAACAATTTTGATCTCTTTTTTTTAGATATACATGTAACAGGAAGGAAGGAAGGAAGAAAGGAAGGAAGGAAGGAAGGAAGGAAGGAAGGAAGGAAGGAAGGAAGGAAGGAAGGAAGGAAGGAAGGAAGGAAGGAAGGAAGGAAAAAAGGAAGAAAGGAAGGAAGGAAGGAAAGAAGGAAAAAAGGAAGAAAGGAAGGAAGGGAGGGAGGGAGGGAGGAAGGGAGGGAGAATGGGATCTGAACCTGGCACTGTATACAAATGTAAGTAAAAGGATTGATGGTCCCTGCCTTCAAGGAGCTTACTTAATGTTTCTAATGGGGAAGACAGCAACACAAAAGGTAGCTGAAAGGGGGCTTGAGGAATGGAGGAGGTGAAGGTACTCAATGGGGGCTTGGTTTTGAAGTTCAGAAAAATTCAAGAACTGGGCCTGGAGGAGAACGAAAGCCCTTCTACAAAATGGAGACTCCACAAGGAGCTCACAAATAGGAGAAGGGTAGTAGGCCTTGCAGAGGCCCATTCCATAGTTAGTGGGCTCTGGTGGTGGTAGGCCACTCCAGGACAAGGAGGCCCAGCTCTATGGGAAGTTCCAGGATGAGCCCGGCAGTAGAGAGGGCGTGGTCTTGATGTTCAGAGGAATTCAGGAACAGGGATAAAAGAGGCAATAGAAAAAGATGGCATGTCATTAGCATTTCAGTGCCATTTCCTCATCTCTGGTAATCATGTACACTTACATCTCCTGATTTTAGAGGCAACATGTTACAATTAAAGAATAGGATGGTTGACAACCTCCACCATTCTCTTATAAAAAGCCTTTAACTTCACTGTGACTTGTAGTCTGTAAAATTGGATTAGTTCTGATAGATGAATTCATTTTGGGGGCTAAGTCATGCTGATAGGTTTTATTTATTAAAATAACTTTTTTTATTTGATGATAATCTCAGGAAATGCTGACAGCCAAATAGAATGAGAAATGAAATTCCAAATTAAATCATAACTCCAAAACGGTTTACATTTTGGTTTTGAAAAATAAGCTTCAACAAAATACATTTGATCTGGAGCCACTTGTGATCTCTTCCCTATTTGTGTACTTAATTTGGCTTCTGTCATTCTTTTTTAATATAACTGTAGCCAGTGAGTATACTTTTCTAATTCTTCATTCTGCATCACTAATGACTTTCTTTGTATTCCCAGTATTTGTCATTTTTAGGGTATAATATCATACCATTATATGAATATACCAGTATATTCAGCTATTTGCCAAATTCTATGTATATATAGGTTGGAAGAAGAAAAATTCTATGGGAAAAAAGGAATTGATAGAACTAAAATAAATGAATCTGATTATATTAAAAGGAATTATGCACAATTTTTAAAAAGTACCCAAAACAAAGGGGGGGGGGAATCTTTGTAGTAAATATTTCTGATTTTAAAAATACATATATACCTAGAATTCACAAGAAACTAAAAATTTACAAGAGCATCAAATTCAAATAGAAACAGGGCCACTAAACCAAAAATAAGGTTCCAGACATGCACATATTGACTTTGAAAACCATATATTAACATTATATATGTTCTATTATATTTTTATTTTGTTAAATATTTCCCAATTATATTTTAATCTGGTTCAGCTACACTTAGGAGTTTTGCAGGCACTTCACTGACACCTTTGATTTACAAGAAATAATTTACTGTTACAAATAAAGCAGTTATGAATATTTGGGCATCAATAGGTTTTTTTCCCCTTTTAATAATAACATTCTTAGTTATAGTAGTAGAATTGATGGATCAAAGGGTATATGATCAGTTTTGTAATGCTGATTGTATATTACCATATTGCTCACCATACTATACTAATTTACAGCTCCACAGTAACTTCACAGTGTTTTCCTAAAGCCCTGCCAACACTGAATTACATCCCTCTAAGTTTAACCTTGGAGTTATTTTAACTTTGTATTTCTATGATTATTAGAAGTTTTGGAACACTTGTGTGAACTTAGCCTGGGTTGAACCCTGCGGTCTCAAGTGCCGCCCTTTGACTGAATCCCAAACTTCATAGAACAAATCAAAGTTTGGATTCAAAGGGCTGCACTTAAGGACCTAGACGGCCACATGTGGCCTCAAGGCCACAGGTTCCCCACCCCTGACTTGACAGTTCTACCTTAGAGAGAACTACCTATGCAAACTTTACTTCTCTTTCTCTCTATAAAATGAGGGGTTTCAGGCTAATAGAGTATCAGTAAGCTCCCCCTTCTAGCTACTGATTGGTTTGTGTATGATTCATGTAACTATGTATCCTTTAAGAATCATTCATTCCTTTTGACCATTATCCATTGTGAGAACATTTATTACTTTTATAAATGTCTAATCATTTGCTTAGACAGAATTGGTTAATCTTTCCCTATATTTGTTAAGTCTGTTTGTTCCGGCCTGTTTTGTATTGTTAATGACATATTACTATTTTTCTGTGCTATTTGTATTACAGACATTGTACCTATCTTGACTTCTACAGTGATAGAGTGTCACAGAGCAGGGCTGAAAAACTCTGCTTTCAGTTTTGCGGCTATGTTGATGAGACCCGAGTATCGCAATAAAATAGATATCAAATATAAAAAGAAAATTGAGGCAATGGTGAGGTGAGTGGTTTATGTTAATTGATTTGTGTACCAAAAATCAGTCTTTTAAAATATAGCAGAATCATGAGTAGGTGGAAAGAAATGAATGACAGAAACTTTATTCTCTTTGATCAGTGAGCCATTCTCAGAATAATAACTCTGTACACCAGTGAGCACCAAATGGGCAATTTTTAGACCCTCTCATGATTTATAAATGAGTAGCCCTAGAGGCACATGTGGTATAGTCTTACTGATAGAAGTGGCTCACTACTATCCAGTGTCCAAAACAAAACAAATGAAAAAAACTATGTCATGTGTGAAAAAAAATAAACAGAAATGGTGCATATTTCTCAACTACAGTATCTCTGATCTCAAAGCTGAGGTGATATGTATACTGATGCCTTGATTTTGCTATTCTAATTTCAGAATAAATAGGGGCATGACATGTACTTGCAAATGATGTATATATGATTCCTCCTCACAGGAGACCTGACACATCAGAAATAGAAGAGATTTCAACACCATGTCCATTTTGTGAATTTCTGCTCCCCGAGTCTGAACTACTCTGCCCTGGATGCAAAAATAATATCCCATACTGCATTGCCACTGTAAGCTTCATTAAAAATATTATATTCTTTGTATTTATGAACTATTTGGATGTTTTTAAATATTAACAAATCTTCTAAATTTTCTGTAGCATTCCCATTTAACCTATAATACCTTGGCCATTGCCATTTTTAATAAATATGATAATATACTATATTAAGACTTACTATTAGAAATGCTTACAATACCAAATTATTTTTAAATCATTAGAGTGCCATAAGTTTTGTCTTAAGGCAGATAAAAATATTTTATTGAGTATAAGCTCAGTTAAGAATTCTGGTCTTTTTGTACCTGCAAAAAAACAAACAAAAATACAAACATAACCTGTTTTAGTCCTTTCAGTGCCGTCTACTTATTTGGCTATTTGTTGCCTCTTCTAATTGACTACATAGCTTCAGCTCCATGAAACACTGTAAGGGTATTTCTTATAGATGGCAGTAATGTGAATAAAGAGTTTTGCTTCCTGTAATGCTATATAGTGAATATTTAAAAAAAAAAGCCCATAATTTTAAAAAATGCTCATTTTTCTCTTAATTGTACTGGATCTAGGGTCGGCATATGTTAAAAGATGACTGGACTGTATGTCCACATTGTGACTTCCCTGCTTTATACTCCGAATTTAAAAGGTAAGTAAAAATCATTCTGCTCTTAGATGTAATTTGCTTTTAAGTGAATTAATCAGCAATCCTGGGGTTGTGAATTGATAGGTAGAACCCACTTTCCCCAAGACCCCCAAAATTGAAGCAGTCTTCCATTAATTTTGACATTTTTAAAAGAGTTGTGCTTATAAAATATAATAAACATGATAATAATATTTCCATTTCTTAACCTACTTGGTAAATAAATGATGAAAAACTGAATGGATGCCAAGAGATACATAAACTTGATGAGTTATTTTCACACCAATGTAAAAGATTAAAAAATGCTCCAGATCTAATTTATCCTGATTTCCCTCCATTCAGCATGCTAACTACAGAAAACACATGTCCTATGTGTTCAGAAAGGTTAACCAGTGATCAGCTTCAAAAAATAACAGATTTTACAACATACCCCAGAGGAGAAGAGGAGCAATGAATACATCCAGGTAAATGCTACAGTACTAGTTCTCCTTTCCAAGACTTCAGGGCCATAAATTAAAGCACAAACATCAAATATTTATATTAATAGAATGCATTTCACAAGAGCCATATGAATGGTAGATGTCACTTTTTTTTATCATGGGCAGTTCATGGATCCAAAATGGAACACATGAGGCCTCATCTCAGTGTTGGTAAAATCATAATGACCTGTAAATCATTCTCATTTAAAGTTGTCCAAGTAATATAACAGATATATTTTAACTATTTAAATTGACTCAATTAGAAGATTTTATGATAAAAATTTTGACTTATTAAAGGTTCCCCTCTTTTCCTTTCCAATATTTATTTTTATCCGATATTCAATTTATATTTTAAATTTCCTAGCAGTTTTTTAAAAATAGAAATTAAAGTTAATGAATTTAATATAGCATAATTTGTTTTTCTTACTTTCAGGTGCTAAAGTGGCCCAATTAGTCATCAAGTACACACAACCCCAAGATAACAGAAAAACACTTAGAATGGGAAAAGTCTGAAGAGTATTCCAAGTGGAAGATGTGTGATGACTATATAGTAATAACAGAATTTTTTCAACATCTTTCACAGTGAGGACTGTCCTTCAAAATGGTCATCTTGAGTGACTATCCTCTTCAGTAGTGATGCCATTATTCAAAACATTTTTGGAATTCTTTATTTCAAACTGCCATTAGTCAGTTTATGAACCATCCAAGAAAATCAGTCTCTCCATTTTTTCAGTTTAATTCAACAAATTTTATTAAGGCCCTGCTATATATGCAAAGCACTGTGCTTAAGCACTGACTTTATGAAAAATAGTAAACCTGACATTTGTGTAGCATTTTAATATTTATAACATAGTCATTTGATCCTATAAGGTAAGCGCTACATATTACCCATTCTACAAATGAGGGTACCGAGGCCCAAAGGTTAACTGATTACCCTATGGCCATGGAACTCCTAAGTGTCAGAGGTGGTATTTGAACCCATGTCTCTCTTGACTCCAAGTTCAGCACTGTATCATGCTGTCTCATGATCATGAATTCAATTCAGTAAGCACAAGTAAGCACCTACTAAGTGCAAGCTATCTGCTAAGCCAGGGGGGATAGGAAGACAAAACCTGCTTCCAACCCTCAAGAAGCATACATTATCTTGAGGGCTATAACATGAACACAAATGCAAGACAGCAGTAACTGAGACAGGCAAGGAACACTTCATGACGACCTAAGTGCCCCAGCTAAGCCTTGAAGAAAAACAAGTATTCTGGAAGACTTCGATAATGCAAATGCCCAGCATGGTACCCTTCACATGGTGGGGTCTTAAGTGCTTACTGAATTAACTTTTATGATTCGTAGATTGGCTCTGAAGGCAGTTTCAAGAATGGTAAAAATATTCTGAATAAAAGCAACCTTAAACTCTTTACAACCCTAAATTATTTAGTGATTATCATCTCTAGAATGTAAGCTCACGAGGGCAGTGACTCTCATTTTATTGTGTCTATCCCCAGTGCTTTGCACATAGCAGGTACTTAAAAGACACAATTTCATTGAATTAAATTAGGATTGTACAGTAGTATGTACTCCTTAAGACTGGTGGTTGCTCAAATCCGGCCTCAGACCAAACACTTGACATGTACTAGGCTGTATGACCATGGGCAAGTCACTTAACCCCCATTGCCTCACTAAAAAAAAGCCCCCCCCCAAAAAAAAAAAGACTGGTGGTTGCCTAAAACCCCTGAAAATGATACTACTGTTAAAGGTTCAGAAACTGCTAAAGAATACAGTATAGCTAATGTTCATGTAGAGAACCCAATTCCACTATCAGCAAGTAATACAGAAATTAAACCAAAGGTTCTCATATGGGAACCATCGACTTTTTTCTTTTTTATGTCTTATGAACTGTATTTCCATGTAATTGGTTTCTTTTTTAAGTACTTATATTTTATGAATTTAAAAACATTCTGAGAAGGGATTCATGGGCTTCCCAGTCAGACAAAGGGGTCTGACAGAAAACAAGGTTAAGATTCCCTGAACTAAACATTCCACATGTATTAGGTGGCACTGAATCAAGTTAGAAATATGCCTGTTTTGTCTCATAGGAATAATCTCAACTACACAAATATACATATCAGCTTTTTCCTAATTAGGTGTCCTTCCTTGGTCCAGCATTTCTTAAGTTCCCATGACTAGAAGGTCTGCAAAGAGAGACTAGACAACCATTTTTTGTCAGCAAGTGAGGGAGGGAGATTGATGCTCATCTGTCCTCCCCCAACCCCTCCAAACTTTTTCTTGTATTAATTTGTTTAGTAATACTTTCTTCATAAGTAATTTAGAGGAATTGGATCCTGCCTAAATTGAATTATCTCAAGTTATAAATTTGTGATATTCAAACTTTTGTTTTTATTATTCTTTAAAGAAAAGAAGATCACACTTTCTTGAAGTCTCCTTATTCAAGAAGCAGTTGCCCCAAGAAATGTTTGGCTTTCTTAATAGAAATAGTTTTATGGTGTGCTTCAGTAATTCACTGAAGAATGCAACTCAACATCCCTTAAAAGCAGCTGTTTTCAACCCTGTCCTACTCACTACTAACAATACTTTCCTCTTTTTTTTTTTTTTTACCTTTTTTACCTTTACCTTTTTTGTACCTTTATGACTTCCTACCTATATTACCTGGGCCTTTCCTGACACAAGATTCAGCTAGCAGAATGTCTATTGGATTGTGCTTCATTCACTTTGTTGCACAGTGACCAGAACCTTACCATAGTCATTTTCCAACTGAGACGAAAGAAATGGAAGCAAGTATAAATAATATTATGGCTGTTAAGTGTTTAGCTTTATTTCCTAGCAAATATTTGCATTTGCTTTATTCTCTCCTTCCACCACAATCACATGGTGGAAAATTTAAAGATTTAACAGATATTAGAAGCTAGATCGTATTCCCAGGGTAATTGAAATGTCTCTCAAGAGGCTTTGTGAACAGTCTTTCCTGGAAACAGTAAGAAAGCTGACATCTCAAGGTCCCTTCTTGCATTCTTCATATTTTTTTTATTATCCTTCACTCTTCCTTCTATCCTTACTCTTCACTCCGTGAGTTTTTTTCACTCAATTCTGTCTCCTATATTGTGATTTATAAACATTTACATTTTGATATTTTTATGTCTTGAAATATAGACTTTAAAATTAAATTCATGAGTGGATATTTGAAATTTATCTCTTTTTATTCTGTGACCTCTAAAGGGAAGCACATCATCAGGTTTGTGAAGTATAAATTATTACAGTGATTAAAGAGTAGTTAGCAATAAGATACATTTCAATGTAGGGTTTTTTTTTTAACCTTTCCTGCTTTTTTGTTCTCTATATTTTTTTCCCTGAGTTTGAAGGTTTTAAAGATTTTCCTTTCTACGGGGAAAGAAAAAACAAATGTACATAAGCATTATCATGCCTTGCGTTGGTGTCATAAGTTTGTAATAAGCTTCTAACTAGGAAGTGCTTAGCAGACTTACTAACTTAACCCTGATTTGAAACACCAATAATCATAAATAAATGATTCATATTGCTGAATCATTTTATAGTACATAATTGAACAAAGCACCTGACATACTATCCTGCTTGCAGCAGTGATACTGCACTATCACCTGAGTACCAGTCTATTTCTGAGAGGTCTGTCACCACGTTGGCTGCAGAATGAAGAATTCAGCCACAGCCACTTAATAAGCACCTACTAAGTCATGAAAAAAATTATAATCAGTCAGTAGAGAGAATAGTATTCTCACTATGAAAGAATAATATGCTGTTTTAGCAGGGTGAGGCTGTTCATTACCAGAGGCTCCAAAGAATTAAGTCCTATTCCTTGGACTCACTCAAAAGAGAATGTCACCATAGTTAGGTCTGCTAGAGATACAGGTATATGAAGCAGGGGAAGAGAGAGATACACATCTTGATGGCAGTTTGAATGTTTACAGTATGGTCAGAGGAGAAAGGCAGCATATCAAAACTCTATTAAAATATAAAAGGGATAAGTTAAAACTGGTGACTAACAGAAGTCCCTGTCCTGAATATTATAATCTAACAGGATACAAGGCTTAAAAATGATTGTGCATAAAAACTTATAACCATAAAATATGGTTATAAAATATGTTATAAAATATGTACATGATAAAGATATATTCCAGTCTTACAAGGTCATTGCATTAAATGGGAGCAACTAGAGGCAAACAGGATCAAAGCCTTCATGAAGGACAGTAAAGAAATTTTGACATTTTCTGACAAGCTTTAGAACATATAGCCTAATTCCATTCATGGTAGAGACTCCAATAAAACTTATGTCTCACATACTAATAAATGTAACTAAATATTATTATTTTTCAACTTTTTTTCAAATTACAGACAGAACAGAATATCAAATATATACTAAAACATGCTATCTTAATATAACCATAAGCCAAGAAACAAATGGATTTTTAACTTATCATGTAAAAGTAATTTTATTGCAGATTTTTGTGACATATTTGACAATATACAAAAGAAATACCCACATCTGGGTAGTGGTTTTTTCATTACGATCTATTTACAAAATTTCACCACATAATAGTAACTAGTTTAAAAAAAAAGACATTGGCCCTATGAAGGCTATTAGAATGCAATCCATTCCAAAGTTACTATGTTATTGATGAACCTAAGCATGTTAATATTTGACTACTAGCATCTTACCCCAAAGCCTGCATTTCCTAAGAATTTTACATGGTAGCTTTGAAGCAGAATGATGTAATTATATTGCCGCTGAAAAGTGGAAGAACAAGCAGTCAAACCACCCTCTATAAGAGGAGCATTTTTAGCCAACTGGTTACACCCTTCTAGTTGTGCCATAGTTCTGTGAATGAGATGCACCAACAGTAACATTACTGCCAAGCCACAATTCTGATCAATACAAGGCTCTGTCCAGAAGCTCCAACCAACACCAGTTATGACAGAGTGGTTGTCAATGTGGGATAACTCAATTTACTTGGGTTTTTTTTGAATTTTTCCCCTTTGCTTTTTTGTTCTCTGTATCTTTTTCTGGTTTTGAAGACTTTGAAGATGTCCTTTTCTGCTGGAAAAAAAAAACCAAACAAACAAAAAACATGTACATAAGCATTACCACATCCGATTAAGAGTCAATTTATAATCTACTAATCAAGCTTATTGTCAGGGTAAATCAAATCTGGTCTATTCTAGGCAGTTATGGAAAAGTAAAAATTTTAAATCCACGTAAGTAGACTCCAAAAAATAATTCACTTTGACCAAGTTTGATTCACAGATAGTACAACATTAAGAAAACAATTAGCATAATTTTATAACAGAATTCACATAATTATTTTAATAGAAGCAAAAGAGGCCTTCACTAAACTATAGCATTCATTTACGATAAAAATGCTCAGAAGCACAGATATGGATGGTCCATCCCTTCTTCAAAATGACCAAAAACCTATAGCTAGCATTTATATATAAATATATTATATAGAGCTTTAAGGTCTGTAAAGCACATTACATCTGATATAGCATATGATTCTTGCAGGTAGGAAAGGTAAATGTTAGTGAGGCTGAGGGAGGTTAAGTAACTTGTCCAGCAAGTGCCTTCAGCAGCATTTGAACTCAGGTCTTCCTGACTCTAACATTCTCTGTGCCACCTAGCTGCCTCATTACACATCTGCATCTATATCTAAAGTCAAGAGCTATCAGTATTTGTAAAGTACAATTCTAGAAGCTTTCCCAATGAAGGATCCCCTCTCTCCCAACACCCATTATTTGATTTAATTGTAGAAATGCTAATAACACCAACAGTGAAAAGATAAAGGACTAACAAGAGTTAAGAACAGGGAACAGTACAGATGTACTTGAGCTGGTTAATTCATTCTAAGTTTAGAACTAGGAAGGGAAGGCCAGAGCAAGGTAATGGACTAGGAGGAAAGGGAGGCAGAAAGGGACTGGAGGCTGCAGTGCAGAGGAAAAAGATGTTCAGGAAGGAGGCAGAAGGAAAGAAGACTCTCTACTAGGTAGGGTGTGATTAGCAAGTCATTTCAGAATGGGGGATCGTGAAGGCAGAGTGAAAATGAAGGAGTGATCAGCTGAAGGTAGTGGACAGAATGCCGGACTTGGAATCAAGGAAACTTGGGGTTGAATCCTACCCCCTGATTCTTGCTATCTGCATGAAAATGAGCAACTTGCTTTCCAGTCTTTTAATCATTACCTTCATTTGGGAGCATGGCCAACGTGGGGATTTGCTTTACTAGATTATGCATGTTAATGATGGGGGTTTTATTTTTCTAGGCTTTTTTTTTCTGTTGAGATTCAATTGGGGGAAAAGAAGGCAGTAGATACAAAGATTACAAAAGCATGTAAAAAAAAAAATTTTTAATTTTAAATAAAATTTGCAAGGCATAGGGCAACCCCCTGCCATGACTCAAGTGGTCGAGGCCTGTTGTCTCTTCCTGGTTCCTTTCTGGGGTAACCCTTGTAGCATGCACTATCACAAGTCCCTCTCATAAAAACACTAAAGAGGAGCAAAGGATCCAAAAAAGTCTTCCTTTGCCTAACAGGAAAAGAGAAGAAAGAACCACCAAGAGGAGAACGCTACTCTTGTGCCTAACAGATATTTGTATCTCTAAGTATTTAGCACACTGTGCTCCATGTACCTACTAGGAGAGGGGGGCAGCATATTACAGGATGAGAGGCAGTGTTTTGTAATGATTACAGAGAGGGCTGACCCAAAAGTCAAGAAAATGTGGGTTCGAGCCATGCCTTTGCATCATAAAGGGTACCTCTTAGTACTCCAGGCAATGCTAATCTGCACTGGTAGAGAAGTGCCTCACCAGGGACTTCCTACACCAAAGAAATCATAGGTTCTGTTAAAAAAAAAAGTATAACATGAAATACTTGTATCAAAAATTAAAATACCTTGATCATAGCATCAGTTTCAATACCATCTTGGTCCTTTTCATCAGACTGGGATTCATCTTCATTTAATTCGTCACTGTAGTCTGAACTCAATGATGGTCCTCCACTGTGCTTAGATGTCTTTGTTACCTGAAGTGAATATGGTGTGAGATGCACCTCTTTATTGTAGCCTCGTGTAAAAGCTGCCTTAACCTGTATGGAATAAGCATAGAGAGAAAAAACATGAGTCTCAATTATTTCTTTGTGACTTCAGGGCAGAGCAGCCCAAACACAGTTTTTTGAAGTGTTTTCCAAGTCACTTTTTTGAGGGGGGAAAAGGGAGGGCAACTGAGGTTAAATGACTTGCCCAGGGTCACACAGTTAGCAAGTGTCTGAGGTGCATTTTGTATCCAGGCCCTCCTGACTCCTGGACTAGTGCTCTATCCATTATTCGGCCCCTTCAAGTCACTTTTAATAAACGTACTGGTTGGCCTATAATTTTTTTAATGTAGAGTTTTTGGTGTTTTTTTTTTTTAATTAACAGAAAGTCCACTTTCTCTCCTCACCTCTCTAGCCCTCCCCTCATGGGGAAAGAAAAACAAAATCTTTGTAATAAATAGGCATAGTTAAGCAAAACAAATTCTCGTGTCCACCAGGTTAAAAATGAGTCTCAACCTGCAACCTTAATTAACCACTTCTCTATCAAGAGGTGGGTGGCATATGTTGTCCTGAATGAATCCTCTGAAACTGTGATGGTCACTGTATTAATAAGAATACTTAAATCTTTCAAAGTTGTTTGTCTTTATAATGTTATTGCCATTACAGAAATTGGTTTCCTGATTTTGTTCCCTCCATTCTGTAACAGTTCACATACAAATTCCCTAGTTTCTCTGAAATTATCCCCTTCATCATTTCTTACAGCACAATAGTATTATTCTACCACATTCATACATCATCACTTGTTCTGCCATTTCCCAACTAATAAGCACCCCTTTATAGTTTCAGACCATTTCCACCACAAAAAGAGCCAATATATTTTTGTACAGGACGTGAAGACCTCTAAAAAGCAGAGATGTTCTTCCCGATCCTGAAGGGAACAGAGAGCCACCAGAGTTTACTATGTAAGGAAGAGGGAAGAGGGGGAAGCTCAGTAATTGGTCAGACCTGCTCTGTAGGAAAATTATTTTCCCAGCTGAGTAGACTGAAACGGAAAGAGAATTGAGAGAGATACCAAAGAGAAGGATAATGCATTAGCCTAGGCAAGAAGTTATGAGGACCTTCATCAAACTACATGTTGACAGGAGTTTTGAAGGTAGAAATGGTAAAATCTGACAACATATTAGATATACAGGTCGAGGGTAAGTAAAGTAATGAGGATGACACTGAGGTTAT